GCCAGCTGGAGAAGACCGCTCCAGGGTCGAGGGTGCCGAATGTTCCATGTGCATGCGGGGCTTTCGGGGTCAGAGCTCGGGGCTCAACATGTGTGCTTGTGGTTCTCAAACGCAAGCAAGCATCGGGATCCGCTCTCTCTCTCTCTCCCTTTTTTCTTGCTTTCTGTATTTCAAGGGAATCGGGCAAGGGTGTCTTTCTGCTTTTCTTCAGGTCTCTCTCTCTCTGACTCTTTTTCCTTGCCACAGGATGGCTTCAGCCTTTGCCGCCACCTCCTGCAGCTGTGCGGCGGCTGCAGGGTGCTGGCCCTTCCTGCAGTTTCCGCAGGGGTTTAGGGTTTAGGGTGAGTTTGCCATTGCAAGGGGGAGGTGTATATAGTAAGATTGCCTTCAATATCACTACTCAATTATTATGAGCATATTTTCTATAATTCTATAATAATTAATAGTGATAAATGGTGATAGTAAATATACTATTGTTCAATTGAAGGCCGGAGCTCTCGCAGGCTACAAGCAGGGTGCTGCACGTCGTCACGTCCCGGCCGCACGCTTCCACAGCAACGTGGCCTGCTTCAAGTGCAGGAGGTTTAGGGTTTAGGGTTTGGGGTTTAGGGTTTAGGGTTTAGGGTTTAGGGTTTAGGGTTAGGGCTCATGGGGGGATTTCCGAAAATAGGGGTGCCTTTATTGGGGATCTCCTTTTAAGGGGATTCTATTCTATTTGGGGCATAAAAGGAGTACCCCTAATTTGGGAAATACCCCCATGGCCCTTGGCACAAGGCCTGGTTTGGGCTTAGAGCAAGGCTGCCTGGTTCCTGGAATGAATGCGGATGAATCGTTTCTATTGGGCCGCAGCAGACATGATATGGAGCAGCCAACCAAAAAAACGATTTGCACTCCCTGCAGCCGATAAGCCTAGAAGGACGCTCCTGGACCAGCAGAAGCCAGCACCCCAAGCGCGACTTCCTGATAGAGTTTACCCCAGAGAACCTTCCGAGTGATCAAAGCAAACCCATCTCTGAAGACAGCTCGAGCGGCTAAGGGCCCGTTCCCAGCTCGTCTTAGCCAGGACGGCGACCAAGGAGTTTCCAGTCACAAAGGAAGCCTCCCGCCAGTGTTCTCGACTAGGGGCTTCCAGGGTTGAGGGGATGCTTCGGGATTCAGGGAGCAAAAGGCATGCAGGAAGTCATTCCAACCGTCAGAGCAGCACAAGAATCCTGATGCCTAAGGACAGACCCCAAAACTCAGGGCCCCAAGTATTGGGGGGGGGGGGGGGGGGCTTGGGGTTCAGGGTACTGCTCTTGGGGGCTTAAAATGTGCGTTTTGCATTTCCCCACCCCCTCTAGATCCTCACGCATGCTCTTTCGGGAGCAACAAACGGTCGGGGTAAGGAACCTGTCTGCAGAGGCCAGCGAGTAAGACGTGAATCTACACTACTAACACTACTGGTGCCACGATAGCTTTGGACATCTCACCAGGCATGTGAAACAGCCAGATCTGGGTACCTGGCGGGGAGAGGTACAATTTCTGTATGTGTGTAAATAACAAAGGTATATCAATATATATATATATATCTATCTATATGTCAGCCTGATTCTGCGTACACGTTCGGCTTAACATGCTGAGAAGGCAGAGAGCCCCTTTTCACGGAACAGGCCAGCCTGCAATGATCGCTGCCGCATCCTCTGAAGGAGCTGCACCTGACGAATCGCAAGGATGCTCACGTCATCCTCTCAGTTCAGGACTTAGGTTTTCCACAGGTCTAGGTAGGGACTGCACAAGGGCTCGACACTTCAAGCCTTACGCCGTTGAAACGAATTCAGTAGGGAATGTTAGAGAGTATTTCAGCGTCAGTAGGTCTCGAACGCAGCAGGGCCATCGTCGACAGGCTTGGAGGGCATCGAGAACGGCATTGTGGCAAATGCCGTCATTCACGGCTGACCTGGGCATAGAGCTCTCTAAGTCCATGTAGTGCATATTCTCTCACTCTGTCGAGGACGGCCGAGGAATTCGCTTACTTCTTCACCGACCTGCTAGACTCAACTTGAAATGGGAACCATGCCTGAAACATGCGTGCAAAGCATCGGCTGGGCCAGCATGTGAAGCGCCAGCTTCCAAACCAAGCCTGGCAGGGCACAGTGGGATTTCGGATGATTCATTTTCTTGTTTGGTTGAAGAACTGACGTGTCCGCTTGGAGCTGTGAGCTACTCAATTCCCGTTGCTATTTCATAGTTCTCCTTAGATCATTTCCCCGGACAGAATTTCTCCGATCCGCCGCCGGCAAGTTGCACACACCAGCCCGATACTCGATCATGGGTTTCAGGCCCTGTGATTTTGGGTGTGGGATTATGTGTTTCCGGTTCTGATCCCAGTGCCGACACTTTGAAACCCTTCCAGAAGAGTTCTGGCTCTGTGAACGCAAAACTCACCGCCCTCCAAGTGCGCCTCGGCCGCAGCTGTCGATGGATGCACTGAGTGCCACTTCGTTCGCGGCGATCTTGGGACGGGTTCGATCTTCTGGGCTTCAACGCTTCTAGATTTAGACCTAAACCCTAAAACCTATAAACCCTATAAACCCTATAAACCCTATAAACCCATTTAGGGCTTCAGTGGCAGGCTTCAGGAGTTGTGGCCGGCAATGGCCCGCGTGATCTGTGTAGAGCCCGAAACTCTCTGGGGTTTAGGGTTTAGGGTTGAGGGCTTAGGGCTATAAACCCTAAAAACCCTACAAACCCCATAAACCCTCAACCCTGTACACCCTCTAAACCCTGTAAACCATGTAAACCCTGCAAACCCTCAGGCGTGCACAGTGTTTTGGGTCTTGGGGAGAAGTCTGCGAGCATCGGCCCTTAACGCCCTTTCGTCCTGGACCCCCGACAAGGGCGGTTTTTTTTCCACCCGACTAGCCACAGCAATGCGGGGACTACTACACGCCATACGGGGAAATAAAGCCTGTCTTGTTTAGGAGACAGGCTGCCTGGTGGCGTCAGAGTAGGAAATACACGGGATTTACAGGGCGGTTGAGGGTTTAAGGTGGGCCCCCCCCCTACAAGGTTCCTTTCTCCCCTTCGCCCACCCAAACCCTAAACCCTAAGTTTTGTTGTGCCCACGGCAAGCCACGAAGGCCACTCTGCAGGGGCTAGTCGAGGGATGGGTTCGGGGATCAGGGCTTAGGCTTACTCGATGCATGCGATGTGTGGAGTAGGGATGAACAGGGGGGGGTTTAGGGTTCGGGGTTTAGGGTCTAGGGTTTAGGGAAACAAGGTCACCATGCAACACCTGAACCACATACCTAAGACCCCTTAAGCCGAGTTCTTCGACCACCAGTCCACACTTCCCCTTGAAAAAACCTAAACCCCGAAACCCTGAACCCTTTTTTGCTGTTGCTCAGTGGTTGCAGTCGTTAACCCTGAACCCTGAGCCCTTTTGCAGCAGGAGTCCTCACTCCTGAACCCTAAACACTTTTTACAGCAAGCCTCGGGAAGCGAGATCCCAGCATAGGCACGGCTTAAAGCTACCCTGAACCCTAAACCCTAAACCCTGTAGCCCTTTACTTTGAAGGACCAGCATTTGGCCCCTACAATCCTAAACCCTGAACCCTGTAGCCCTAAACTCCAAACCCTGCAGCCCTAAACCCTAAACCATGAACCCTGAACCCTAAACCCTGTAGCCCTAAACCCGAAACCCTCTGTAGCCCAAAAAGCCGCCACGTGCCCTCGGTGACCTTCCTTGGCATTGAGGCGGCCACGCGAAGTCGTGGGGCTGCAAGGAGCTGCGCCATGGCGTAGCGCCAGGCATGGCCTCTCGGTTTAGGGTTTAGGGTTTTTAGGGTTGGGGTTTACGAAAATAGGGGGCCCCAAAATGGACTTCAAATAGTAGGATTCCCTGATAAAAAGGACCCCCCGAAGGTACCCCTAATTTTCGCAAACCCCCATTTGAGTTTCTTGGATTTCTGTACCATGTTTTGTTTTTTTTCGGAGGGAGGGTGCGGGTGAAGGGTTTCCAGTGGTTGGGGCTCTAGTTCTGCTTTGTGTTGGGCGTGGTCTGGGCTTCGACATGCACACTCCTCTGGCAAACGATCGGTCAGCATACTCTTTCTACACAACACATGTGGTTTGGGTTTACGGCTTTAGGGCCGAGGCCGTAAGCTCAAAACCACCTAAGCCGCCCAACCGTGCTGTGCTAATCTTGCCTGATCCCCAGCGGGTGCACATATTTGGGGTTCAGGGGCTTGGTTCGCTTCGCATGAAGGTCCGCGCTTGGATTGACAGGGTTCCGGATGAAGCAAGGAAACTATTTTCGTTAAAGGGCTTGTAGGTTGCTTCAAATAGAGTAAGGAAACTATTTTCCTTAAAAGGGCTTGTGGGTTGCTTCTGCGCTATAGGTTCAATCAGTGGACTCTTGGGCTGCAGGTATTTCAGGTCAGTCTCCGGCATATCGCCACGTCGCGATTGAAGGCACGGCTGCTTTCGTAGCTTTGGGCTACTGTAAGTGGTGTGCAGGCTCGCTCACGAAAACACGACACTGTCAGAGCATAGGTGCTCAACTCTCAACCACAGTAATTGGGGAGCAAAGTCATGCACAAGTAAAACTACAAGTAAGAAGCAAGCTTACGTTAACAAATACATGTCAGCGTCATCAGCTTGCGTGTGCACTTTGTTCGCCTTGCAGCAGCGTTCGCGCTTGAATCTTCGCAGTATTGCCAGCTGCCAAGCCCTGAAGAGTCCTACAAAAGGACGAAAGCTTGGCTGCAACGCATTTGCGGCTTGAAAGTCCTGTGCCCTAGGCTTGAGTGACCTCTGAGACTGAGCCGTGACTGTGAGAAACCAAGCCTCGTGAACAAGCTTTCATCGCGCTGCTGCTGCCGACGATGTCCAACAGCGCTTCCGACCTGCCCATTCCACACGCGACAGCTACGCAGATCCTACTCAAGGCTTGAGCCGTTGAACCCTAAATACATCAATGGCTTGAAGCACGATGTAGTAGTGACCGTGTCTTTCCTCTATCACTGCTCTTGGTGACAGCCCTCTTCCCCCCTCTTCTCTGCCATCAGCACAGTGAACTGGAACCCTCCAAGCCTTGCCGCCCGTGAACACAGCTCCACCGCGGCATGCCATGTCGCAAATCGACCGCAGCTGTCGATGGCGCTGCCGAAGCTGATGGCATTCCGGTCGAGCGATGTAGCAGCCATGACTTGCAGCAGCCATGCCTGGTTTCAGGGCCAAGGGGAAGACACTCACGACGCAATGGCACCAGGTCACCCGCAATTTAGCCCCAATAATACCTCTAAGAGGTGTATTATTACCATTATTGCTATTATTGCTATCATTACCATTATGTCTATGATTACTGTTATTACGATTACTATTTATAATTACTACTATTACTACTATTTCTATTATGAAAAGCCCTCCTGGAACCAAGGAGCGGCGAGCTGCCAGCTGCCATCCCCACATGCCCCCATGGCACTGTTGAAGCTCACAACATCGGCACGCCTTAGTAGCCCAGCTACCAGATTATAAGGGCACCCTTTTTTGGGTTGGTTGCTTTATAAGGGAACCTTGAACCCAAAAAAAGGGAAAAGGGTACCGGTGGCCTACCAAGACGCAGCTGGCAGAGCGGCATGCTCCGCAAGACTTGCAAAGCCAAAGGGGATGAGTTGCCTCAGGATGAGCTATAATTTGGCCTTCTCATCCCCATCATCCACCCTCTAAAGGGCCATGTTTAAGGGTAAAAGGGTATGTCTTTAAGGGGTTGTAGGGTAGACGTGTAAGGGGTTATTATAGGGTACAATCGGCCCATCCTGGTCACCTAAAGGGGCAGGGACGCCGTCTCGTCTCATGCGGGGGGCTTCTTGAGGAAGCCGAACCGTTATTAAAAAAGAATGAAAGCTTCTTGGAGCCCATGCGATATAGACATGCTTTAGAAAAGCATGTGCACATATATATACATATATATATATATTTATATTTATTTATATTTATTTATATTTATTTATATTTCTATTTTATCTTTATATATATATATATGTACATGTATATGTGTATGTGTATATGTATATGAATCCGTATCTATATGTATATATATATATATATACACATATGTGTCTGTGTGTGTATTATATAGATACATATGTGTGTGTACATGTATATAAGGCTGGGCTGAGCTTCTCTAAGTGCACAACAAGTTGCACATTCCTGAACCCTCTGAGCCAAACGTGCACAGCTTCGCTACTTAGGTAGGGCTACACCCCCTCTAAGCCCTAAACCGTAAACCCTAAACCCGAAATCCTAAATCCTAAACTCTAAGACTCTTCCTTGGGCCCAGGAACTGTCTGCACAAAGGCTCAAAGCGCAATTGCAGTCTCTTAGGCTGGGAGCCTCCTGGGCGACTGCCGAGGCCGGGAGACAAGGACTCCAGGTTTCAGGGTACCCTCTTGAAGCAAGGGTTTAGGGATGGTTTAGGGTTTAGGGTTGGGGTTTGGGGTTTAGGGTTTGGGGTTTGGGGTTTCAGGGAGGGGGGAGGGGGGGGGGGGGGAAGAGCCAAGCAGTTTGTGATAATAACAGCTGTAAAGGGAAAGACAACAAGCGGACCCTGAAGTCTGAATCTTGGGTTCCCCCTGTCCTAACGGGTATACTACCCCCCCATTATAAACCTACAACATATATCTGAATCTCTGGACCTCGCGTCTTTAGAGGTTTTTGGTCGTTTAAAAGCAGAGATTCCAAGGTAGAGAATGCTGCCAATGCCCACTGCCACCGCTGCGCGCTTTGGCATGCCTCTTGGCGCAGAGTTGCCCGACAGGCAGGCCACGTCCCACAACTGTGAACAACAGAATCTCAGCTAGCCCCTCCCCCCCCCCCAAAAAAAAAAATAAGAATAAACCCTTTTGAGCAACGGACTTTGGAGGCTGCCGGCAAACATGCAACTTCTTAGAAGTCACATCACGCAAAACATCACGCAAACTGTTCTATGCACCCATATCACCATGAGGAAGCACGCGTAAGAATAAACCCTAACCCGAAAACCTAAACCCTAAACTCCGCCCAACGCTAATTTTGACGGTCGCTCATATGTAGAGACCTTGGAGTGTCGGCTCAGGGTTTAAGATGTGTGTGCGCCTCATGCTTTCAGACGCAGTGCCAGATTCCTAGGATTGAGAAATTGAGAACAGCCAAGATTCGGCAAACCCTACTTGGGGCGCCTTAGCAGTTAAAAGATTTAGGGGATTGGGAGGTTCCTATATAGATACCATAATAGCCCGCATGAAGTAGGGGCCATAAGGGAATACTATGAATATCCATTAAAATAATAGTTCTTCCGACCCCCAATGTTCCACCCTGACTCTGTCCCGTTTGGGAGCTTACAGTGACAACCTGCTTTGGGTTCGAAATTAAGCCCTATAAACTTTGGCCTGGGATGAGGAGCACAACAGTAACCTCTTGGCGTTGGGCAGAGCTCTGCTAAATAGTAGAGCTGGGATTACACCCTGTCGGGCCTGCAACGCCGCAGTTCGGGTACCATCCAGCCCGACTTGCTCAGCATGGCGCCACAGCGCCAGGGCCGGGCGCCAAAGGCTTCTGGTGAGGGGTTGCGGGGCCTGGTTTTAGGTTTTCCTTTGCCACCTACCTCGCTGGAGGGTTCAGGGCTCAGGATTCGGGACTTGAGGCGTACGTTTGCCGGACTTGGGTGACCTGCTAGCATGGGATGAGTTTATGGTGTGCAGCTACCCGATAGCCAGGCGCAAGCCCCAGGACCGAACCAAAACTCGCAGTAGGGAATTGGAGGTTCATGGGTACATACACCAGGAGTTGAAAACTTCGGCCCTTCCTTCAGGGGGAAGATGAAGATACAGCCTCTCAACCATGAAGTCATGAAGATGAACCCTATAAAGCCTCAACAAGGCTGCATGCTTGGGATTCACAGGTCGGCCCGCAACCCATGCACCACCCGGATATCCCTGACGCTTCCTGCTTGTTGTGGCAGCGATGGCCCCACGGAAGCTGCTTGCTGTAGACCTGGGATGCGCGTTGAAGCTTCTGTTAAGGGTTTTAGTAGGGGTTCAGGAGAGTGCCAGAGTTTAGGGCTTCAAGGTGGGCTTCAAGGTTGTGCCTTCAAACCCAAAAGACCACAGCGGGAACCACTCCCGCCAAGCATCAGGCGTTCCTTGTGAACATGTCCGGTTCGTGTGGGTAAGCCGCGGGAAGCACAATCCCATGCAAACAAACTTCCAATTTTCCCATGGATTCAAAAGAACCGTTCTTACACAAGCAGTTTTGTGACCTGAGAGATGCATATTCAAAGTCAGACGTGAGAGAATGGGCTGCCGCTCTGCAACAGTATCCACACCTTTATCCAATTAAACCCTGCACCATACAATGCCAGACACGTGGTAGGCCAGCACCCCGCGTACGTCCAGATAGCCCACTTTATGAAGGCAGCAAAGGTGCTCGAGCTTCACTTCGATAGCCTCTTGCATCAGGCAGCCTGCGAGCTGCCATTGGCCAGCATCCTCTGTGAATTGTGCCATATTGTGGGCGTTGCAATGCGGTTGATTGATTGACCAAACACCAGCCCTGTGCAGCACTTCTGATATCAGACCTTCAGGACACCTCTCCCGAAACCCACAGAAGACACTAAGCCTCCATCACATTGACGGCGGAGTTGTAGGTTATCGTATCTGGCCCCATGCGGGAGTCGTACGTCTGTGCGACCAGCCGGACAGCTACATGCCAGAGTTCATGGGAACACCTGGGCCGCGACGTGTGCTGGAAGAGAACTTAGGGCTACACTTAGCATAAACAATCTTACCGTACTATATTCTTATACAATTCAGAAGTATATTCTTAGACACTTCGATTCTTGCATGAATCTGCACGACTGCACGAAGGTGTTCTAAATGTCAGCGGAGCTTTGCTGTCAAGGCACGTCGTGATGGCGCTGTTGACAGAAAAGATGGATGCAGTTTTGGATCCCGAGCGGCTGAGCAGCTGCATCGTTTGCAGCCAGCCCCTGCTTCCCGCCATGTGGCTCACCTGCTGTATAGGGATTGGGGTGCCTAACCCTAAACCCTAAACCCTAAACCCTAAACCCTAAACCCTAAACCCTAAGCCCTAAGCCCAAAGCCCTAAGCCCTAAGCCCTAAGGCCGAGCCACCATGGTGCTCTTGGTCACAGCGCTCGGTCGGAGGTGGGCCCCCTTCATGGAGCACAGGAAGAACTGAGCCAGGACCCAGTGGCCCTCCAGGGCTTGAGGATCCACATGAGGCCATATATATATATACATATATATATATATATATATAGGCACATATATATATATATATGCATATGTACATACAGATATAGATATAAATGTAAACATAAGTATAAATATAAACAATATATATATATATAATAAATATCTGTCTATATATATATATATATATACATATTCATTTGTCTATTTACTTGTTTGTTTGTTTGTTTTTGTATTTGTGTCTATTTAGTTAGTTGTTTCTTGAAGGGGCTTTTGGGGGTTTAGGGTTTAGGGTTTAAAGGGTTCATGAGGCCATTTAGGGCCTTTCATTTTTCTGGAGGGGCGCAAACCATTTGGGTTACTGGGCAGATAGGGTCTACATAGGGGTCAAGTCGTAACAGAAGCTGCCCCATTTTTATAAGGACATGAAGAGCCTATAGCTTTCAACTGGGACCACCCCCAAATGTCCTCTAAGGACTTGAGGACGCTGTTGTGCGTGATGAGGTCGGCCTCAAAGAACCGTTTCACGCGTTCGACCCGGGGTGCAGAAAGGGGGGTTTAGGGTTTTTTTTTGCCACCCGCTTAGCTGACCTCTCGGACACTCTGCGGGTTTAGGGCTTAGAGTTTCGGGTTCCGGTCGTTGCTTGGGGGATTTCAGGGTGATTCAAGGTGGAGCTGGTTCTTGTTGGGGGTGCTTTTGTTGAGGATGCCGCGTCCAAAACAGGGGGCCGGGGCTTACATGGGCTTAGCTTTTCTATGCCAGGCAGCTTCCACTTCCCTCCTCTTGGAATACCACTGATCTCCTCCCTTCTGATTCCGAGTCCGTTTTCCCACAGGTCCTGCCTGGGCTTGTTCCCATTCCCGTCCGCCCACCCCGCTTCCCCAAAGGGAAGGCTCACAACTTCCCACCTGCTGGGCGCGACGCCACATGGCCACACTGGCTTCCCAGCTGCGCTCTGCAGCACAAGCCTGCACCTAAGAGCTGCAAGCGAAACAGCGGGCATTCCCCTGTCAGTCGGGGACTATGCGACGGTATACATACAAATATAAATATATATATATATGTATCTATCTATCTATCTATAGCCCCAATGAAAATGCATTGCCTTGCCATAAAACACAGTCCCCCCCCCCCCCCCCCCCCCCCAATTCCTGCGAAGTCGGCTCATGACTGAGAAACACCACGGTAAGAGATGCTGACTCTTGAGGCTTCCTAAACCCTAAACCCTCGACCCTAAACCCCAAAACCGGCCGGAGGTGCACGAGCGCAACCCTGGCATCGGTTGAGCAGAACGAGGCTGAAGCCCCTAAATCATATCTCAAGCCTAAACCCCATTAAACCCTAAACCCTAAACCCCTACATCCCTAAGCCCTAAACCCCCAAAAACCCTGGTGGTCCGACTCAAGGCCAGGATCCAGCCCCCCTCTGTTACCTAACTACCTGAAGTGGGTACTTGGGGAACCTGTAGAGTCCGGTACATCCTCGCTCCTGAGAGGGCTGATGGGGGAGGTTCATGTACCTGTTCGGCCGTCCCGCTTGGATTTCTGCTTCTCAGCTGGGAGGCTACAGCCCGGAAGGCGGCAGAATCGACATCTGCCTGTCATAAGGAATGGCAATGTCCCAAGGGTGTGTCAACTCTAGGGGGTTCCAACTTCTAGAGTGAGAGGGGGTACAGTAGGTAGATGCTGCTGCGCGGTGCGGGCCATCGTTTCTTTCCCGAAGCCTGCTCACATCTTGGACCAAAAATCGCACTCTCGCCTATGCGCTGGCGTGGCTGAGCTCGCCGTCCCCGAAACTGCAATTGCTTCTGGACTGCGGGGCTCACAAAATGCGAAACGTTCGTCGCTTTGGGCTTCTGGGCTCACAGGGTCAACAGTTTGGGGTCTATGCTGGCAAGGGAGTATAAGACCCAAAGCCCAACAGAAAAGCGAAGGTGGAGATGGTGGAGGTGTGGCCCGCCTGCGTTGTGCAGGCTGTTGCCAGGCGCCACGGCCCACGATTCGGCATTCCTTGGTGCTGTGGCTTAAGACCATGTGTCACCTGAAAGGCCTCAAAAGTCAGAAGTAGCAAAGGAACCAACCCCACAGGCCCGACAACAGGCCACCCCCGCAAAACTACAACAATTCGGCAAGGTCCTGTGATATATTGGAAAACATGCTCGCCATCTCCTTGGGCAAAGGCCAGTGACAAAAAGGCACTGGGCGCGGAACACCGATGACAAAGCCCCGACAAACCCGAACCACGGCGTGCCCAGCAGGACCGGAACCCCTTTGACAAATGACGTCTACATCCGGTTATAATAGTCCTGATATGAATTCAAGCACTCCTCAATGAATTGCGCCCTATGGCCAGGTGTAAATCCGAGCAAAGCGCCCTCCCAACGCAGACCCAGCACCCGCAGCGCAGCGAGGAGGCCACCAGCGTTTTGCCAAGGAGCTGGGCAGCTGGGCGCAATTTATTCCAGGGTTCACGGTTGTGGGGTTGAGGAATAGGGTTCTAGGGAAGGCTGCAGACCACGAGGCACGCACCATTTAGAGGTCTTTCGCTTTCGAGTTGAGGATACCCGAAACCCCAAACCCAATAGAAGTCGTGACTGGTGTGTCAAAGTCGTGGACAGGTGCGTGTAGAAGCTGTATAATTGGTGTCTCTACGGCAGGGTTTAAAAACAGAGGGGGAGTCAGAAGCGCGCATACGCAGTCTCAGTTTGTGGCAATGTGGCAAAGCTGCCACACACCTGAGACCCTAGACTTGCACCTGGATTGCCACGAGCCTACCATCATGATAGTGACGTTTGCATCCTTGCACAATGCCTGACTGCTCCAAAATTCCTGACACCTACACCGCTGCATGCTCAATAGGCCCGACGGTCACAAGAGCTGCAAAGCAAGGTGCCAAAAGGCCAGGGAGCTTTACCATGACGAGGACATTGAGACCACGCAGAACCCCCTTGCCTCAAGTAACTACACGTGCACCCTGCCGCCTGAGCTGGAAGTTGTCGCAAAGCTGACCGTGTCAGGCCGGATCCTCTTCACACGACAAATCATACCTCTCATGTGTTCACAAAATTCAACGCTACGTACAAGTCTACCAGAACCAGCTTCGATATACCAATGGCAAAAGCAGGTCTGCTCAGCTAACATTCGTGAGCTGTCCTGCCTCCACAGACCCTGCTTCAAGTTGCTTGCAGATGGACTCCGTGAGAATCATCACCCTAAACCCCTAAATCCAAAACCCTAAACCCTAACCCTAAACCCTAAACCGCAGGGGGGCGGCGAAATGAAAACCAGTCTGGGTCGAGTGTTTTAGGGTTTAGGGATTAGCCTATACTTACGCCACTAAATAGGAATCCCTTCAAGGCCCAAGTATATACTTCATGGGTACATGGACCCTTTTGGGACCTTCAACCCTAAACCCGTCCTCTTCTCTGCTGCAGCAGACAGTAGCCGCAGCGCGCTAGGCCAGTGGTTCGGCCGGGCCCAGGCGCTTAAGGCGCCTTGGGACCCAAGGAAAAAGGGTTTTAGGGGGTTTAGGGTTTAAGGTTTAAGGCTGCGAGGTTCAGGTTCTGCATTTTGCCGCCTGCCTGGCTGAACTGTCGCCTCCACGTTGCAGGGCTTAGGGTTTGGTACTGTTCCACCATTTTTTAACAAGACAAGTGTGCCATTGCAGCACCTGGCTACATGTGCCTTGTTGTAAGGTGCACAAGGACCCCATATGTTTGCAGCTCTTGGGTTAGGGTTTGGGGCTTAGGGAAGATGTTTTGATGCCAGCTGGCACTCGTTGTTCTGCAACATGAGAACAGATCCACACTAACAACCCCTAGCCTCGGGCTTTAAGGCTTTGGGGTTTCTTAGGTTCAGGGTTGAAGGCCTTGTTTGTGCCGGCATTTCTTGTGAAATGTTTGCCGTGGAGTCTATATTGGTGTGCACGGCGCGCTTCCCTCACAGTTTTCATGTTCTTGCCCTTTATGTGTACATGGCTCGTTGTGTTGTTCTTTGGTTGTCTTGGATTTCGGGTAATTCATGGTCTGGACATTTGGAACACGGACTGCTAGAGTTCAACCCCTGGCTGCCGAAAGGCGAGGTTTAGGGTTTAGGGTTTAGGGTTTAGGGATCGAAAGCCTATGGTACGGCTGCACCCCCAGTCTGTCTACTGAGTGAAGTTGCCTTAGCGCCGCAGACTCTGCTGCAAAGGTTTCCCACTCCAGCCTAAACCACCCTAAACCCTAAACCCTATACACCCTAAACCCATACAGAGGTGGCAATAGGCTTTCAACACCGGAATGGATGCTGTCCTCCTGGGGCGCCCCCGAATCCTACACCTCAAGCCATTGACCCTAAGCATCCCTTATACCTTAAGTAGCCAAGAAGCCACTTAAACGAAGGTGACCCTGCTAAGAAGGACACCCCCAGGGGTAAATCTAAGACTTTACACGGCAATCTTATTATGTAATGTCCGACCTGGATGTCTAGCGTAGCGTGGACCCTAAGCCCGGGGAAAACAAAAAAACTTAACAAAGCTACCCTCGAGCTCCAGCGGCTGTTGAGGCTGATCTGTGTGGGCTCCAGCATCTGCTCCGTGAGGCTGCGGAAAGCCTGCTTTAGGGTTTAGGATTTAGGGTTTCGGGTTTAGGGTAATGCGGCTGGTCGAGTTGTTGAGGGGCTCAACGGGTTCAGGGTTCCGAATCCTGGAAGGTGGCACCTGAACACATTATTGTGGCATGCCACGAGTACTTCTCCGGCCCGTGTCACATGCTTTCTCTGACAAACTATGGTCATGCATGCTTTCGCAGCCCCATGTGCAGTTAAAAGTCGCAAGGGCACACTTCAGTCCCCGAAACTGGCATCCCGAACCATGTCGCGCCTCCCTCAAACGTTGCCAAAGAATCGGGTTCCTTTTTCTGAGAAAGGGCTCCGGTTGCCCAAGTCCCCTACGTAGGACCAGTAACATGATAAGGACTTGTAGCCGGGGAGCCCGCGACCCCTTGCTCAAAGAATTTAGATAAACAAAAATCACACATGCGTCCTCCCTAAACCCTAAACCCTAAACCCTAAACCCTAAACCCTAAACCCTAAACCCTAAACCCTAAACCCTAAACCCTAAACCCTAAACCCTAAACCCTACTTAGGCACAAGGCGTACTCACCACTTTGCAGCTCCGGGGCCCCGAGTGCCGCCGACCAGAAAGTTCCCTTCTCCAGGGAACTGAGGGCTGCGGTGTAGCTGACCACCTCACAGCCCCAACTTACCTAACAGTCCTTAATCGGGATTTCTCATAGGGGGGTACTGTTCGTATAAGGGGGAACATCACAGCCCTAAACCCTCAAGTTGCAACCCTTGATAAACCCTTAAAACCCTGAAATCCTTAGACCCTTAAACCTCCCCTTATACTAACAGTCCTTAATTTGGATGAAAGTACCCCCGGTTAAAATCCTAGTAAGGACTGTTAGTATGACGGGGAACATCCCAACCTTAAATCCTGCAATGCTAAAACCCAAACCCTAAACCCTTAAGCCCTTTAACCAACTTGATTCTCTGGCAGGGCGGTTTTGTTGTTTCCGTGCCTACAAGTAGCTGCCAGGGGAGAGCTCCACCTCCCAAAAGCCCATCCAGCCGCAAGCAAACCCAAATCGAACCCTAAACCCTAGATTTCTGCAACTTCTGCAACCCCGAACCCCGGAACCTCCTGGCCTGCAAGCAAACCCGAATCGAACCCTAAAACCCTGATTTCTGCAACTTCGGCAACCGCGAACCCTGAACCTCCTAGCATCTTCACGCCAGCCCCAACTCAAAACCTCCCGCCCCCCTCCCCCAACAATCTTGCAGGGCCACGTCGGTGGCCAGCGCGTGGCATCGTGCAGCGGCAAGCAGGTCGACGGCAGGGCGCCAGTGCCCTGAACGAAGGTGGCGACTCGGACTTGCAGAGCTGTTGAGGGTTTAGGGAGTAGGGTTTAGGGTTGAGGATGTAGCAGGGCGCGACGCCAGATTGCAATAAAACACGCATGGCAACCCCAGGCCGCAACAAGGACGTTCTCAAATCGGGTCGAATTCCCCAAAAACAGCGACGTAAACAAAGCTGACAGGTAAGGTGGTTTAGGGTTTAGGGTTAGGGGGGGGGGGTTGTCTACATCCCACGCTCTCATACGCCTTCTTTGACTTAGGGCACCCATCATTCAAAGAACTCGCTTTACATACACATACCGATACCTACCTACCTTACATACATACATACGTACATACATGCATACATGCATACAAACATGTGTATCCTGTCCTGCACCCTCATCCATTTGGAGAGGGAAGGCCTGACGGGCCACACGCGGCAATCGCCGTGTTGTAGCTGATGACATCTGGCCTAGAAGGGCCACCAAGGCATGTGCAGTCTGCACGCAGGCGCACTCGCTGGCTCTACTCCCCTAACCTTGGGACTTACAAATTATAGAGGTACCGTACAAGCGCTAAGGAACATACAGAAATACGAGCCCTGAACCCTAAGCCCAAAACCCGAAGGAGCCACAAATTAGCGGAAGCTAGTCGTGCTTTGGCTCACAGCCTGCTTAGGGGTTCATGGGAAGGTTTATATCTGGAGCTGTAGCAGGGTTACTAGTCACCGTGACCTAACCTGGGGCTACTTGTAGTAAGCTGCCTGAGCTGGCATATCTGGCATCGCGACAGCCCACGTGTAGATGGCTTGACGCGTAGTGTGTTTGTAGGGTGCGAGCTTCGGAGCATGAAATTTCGGAATAGCATGGATCTGGGGGCCAAGCTCGATCCCATCTGCCGCGCGAAGGAGCTGAAGAACCAGAACCCACTGAGAACCTCGTAGGTGTTGGAAGATGTCTTTACCTACGAGTGCCTAAGTCCAAATCTTGCCTGGCAAGGAACAAACCTGCGACACAAAGTACGCCAGGACCTATATATACATACACACAGTACATCTACGTATCACATATGCATGACGTCTTCATGTTCAATGCCCCACAGAAGGGTCTGACCCTTGCGTAGAGGTGTAGAGAGTTGCTAGAGACCACTGGCATCCTGCTCGTGATATAAAAAAAACGTGTAGGCATAGTTCATAGGTGGGCGCTGAGAAACACGCCGGCATCCTCAACGTAAAGCAACAAGAAAACACACAAGAATGCAAAGTTCAAAATGATGACAATAGCTAGCATCAGAGGTGACCTACTGCTAAGGTGGTTTGATGTGAAGGGGGAGATCGTCTGCCAACACAGCATGTACCCTGCAACTGGGCCACCCGTGTCTAAGCGCAAGCACGATGTTGAGGTGTTTCGTGGGCCAGGACTGAGGGTGCAAAGTCAGGAAATTGCATTGCAGAAGGGCGTCCGCGTGCGCAGGCTTTGGCAGCAGCATTGGTGTGAATCACGTTGGGCTGCACTCCTGGAACAGGGAGCCCTAAACCCTAAACCATAAACCCTTTTTGCATCCGGGCTTGGGGAGTCGGCCGGGAATGGTCAGGAAATCGCAGTGACTTGCATCTGATAATTGGAGCAACCATCTCAAGGTTTTCAAGAGAAGCAGGGATCCCTCAAGCTATTCATGAGAAATCAAGCAAAAGCATGCAACTGATCGGAAGAATTACGCAAGACCTCCTTCACAAGTTCAAGCTGTGACTAGGCAGCCCTTGCTGTTCACGGGCTTGTCGTTCCAGTCTTCGCTGTGCTTTCATTGCTCGGCGGAGCTCGATGTGTTGGGCTTTCAAACTCGCAAGGTCATGGTCAGGAATCCTAGCACGCACGCCTGGGCATCGTGAGGCTTGTGGCCTGTGAACGTCACATGCCATCGTCAGGCCATGAGGAACTGAAGAACACGCCGCAGTGCCAGGTGAATCAATGGAGCTGGCCGTGGGCAAGAAGTGATCCGATGTGTCGGCCTCCAGTTGGCGCAAGCGTTCTTCAAGTGCCACCGCAGATGCCTTCGCTTGATCCATAATCTTGTCCACAATCATGGTGCACTCACCTGCTGAAATGATGTCCTCACATGTCTGCGCCTCCGCATCTGCAAGGAGTCGCTGCGGGGCGTCAACGAGTTTCACCTCCTGAGCATATTGAGCATTTGGTACATCACTGCCATCAGGATGAAGAGCCTGAAACAAAGAGATTGTTCTTCGCCTGCGGGATTCTTGGGGGACTGCCGCCGAATCAACATGTGCATCACAGGAAACAAGTGCAAACAAAGCCTGTTGAAGATGTGGTAGGAGCTCCATATATCCACATCGTGTTGCCAATCTGACAGAGTAGCCTAAACACGCAGCCAGTTTAGCATCCATTGCAGCTCGAGGCAGATCACGAATTAATGTTTACCCATTTGGGTCTCGTAGCCAAACTTGAGCCAAAACCATAAACCCTAAACCCTAAACCCGGTTGGCACAAAGGCACAACATGGCACACCGGCTGGAGTGGCCAACTTGCTTTGGAGACGCTAAAGCATTGCACAGGTATGTCGAAGTAGGGTTTATATTTCTTGTGCCCCCAAAAGGACACCCAATGTATACACTCACAAATATTAAAAAGAACCTTATATACACTCACCAAAAACAGAAATACAAACCCTGCTTCTATGTACATGTGTGATGCCCCACTAACAATATTAATTGTATTAATGATATTAATGATATTAATAATACTAATAATATTAATAATATTAATAATATTAACAATATTAATAATATTAATAATATTAATAATATTAATAATATTAATAATATTAATAATATTAATAATAAATATTAATAATATAATATATTAATAATATTAATATATAATAAATATTAATAATATTAATATATAATAATTAATAATATGAATAATATTAATATGTTAATAATATTAATAATATTAATAATATTAAAATATTAATAATTGTTTTGAAATATTAATAATATTAACAATGTTGACAATATTAATAATATTAATACTATTAATAATATTAACAACAATTTTAATACTATTAATAATATTAATACAAATCTTATTAATAGGATTGACAATATTAATAATATTAATAATAATAATACGAAAATATTAATTGGACAACCCTGTACACAAACTTTTGTCGGCCGGGCCGAGGTGGTCGATGCGCAGCGTTGCAGGTGTCCTATATGCATATCGGGCATTCTGAGTTGGGCACCCTATAGATAAATTTAGGCTCCGCATGAGAATGGGAACCCTGCAAAGGGACCGCAATTTCAGAGGACTCCCCACGTAAACCCGATAGACGCTAGAGAAGAACAAGACACGTGAGAGAGGGAATTCAGGGCTTCGGCACGTCTCCCCGCCTGCACTTTGCATTGCCGCAAGGGCAGCCACGGCGTCGCTGCCCGGGGCTCTGCGGAGCCTTGGAGGACATGTGCGAGGCGGAGTTGAAGCCGAAATCCATATGGGTTTTGAGTAGGAGGCGTGTCCAACAAAAGCCAACCACAAATTGGGCAATCTTGTGTAGAAGTCGTTCTAGAGCCGCAGGAGCGCGATTTCCATTCTGAGGCCTACTAGAATTGCCCCCTATCCGGCCCACAACCTCCAAGCTTTCAACTTCTACATCCTACCGCCCAGAGGACGGCAGTCTGGACCATGGAACCTGTGATGTGCGTTGTCTGAAGGAATCCTCAGGTTGAGTTTAGGGGCTTAGGGCTGGGGGGCCCCTCTTGCCTGGGAGTCTATAGGGCTTGGCGATTTAGGGGATTAGGAGCGTCATTTGTCGCTGCAAAACATGAAGCTGCTATAGGGCCCCTCTCCGAGGTGGTCGGATGGTTTGCAGGCAGCGCTGCGGCATATTCTGAGCTCATTACCCTCAGGCTACGGGTGTGCAGATAGCATGCATGAAGCCCTTCGCGAACCCCAGGCAAACGTGAGTGATATGAGCAACCTTCGTCATTGTGGGAGAGGCCCTCGCCTGGGCTCTCTACAGCCAAAACACGACAACCCAAGATAACCCGGGATGACCCAAGCCTCCGTAGACCTGCATGAGCCTCATGAATCTAACGACGAGAGGCCATGCAGTTGCAGCTTTCGGCTGGCGGCGCCAGTCCTTGCATGGCTCTTGGCTGCGAGCCCTTAAGGCTGATTCGAGGTGGCTTTTTGGTTTTTTGGGGCATGTCGGGGTTGGGTACCCCCAACCGCAGCATCGTTGAAGATTCGCTCCAGAACCCTTGTCCCCTGAAGGGCCTGGAGGGCATGCAAGGCTCAGAAGGGTTTTAGGCTTGGGGATCTAGGGCCAAAGGGTCGAGGGTGGTGGCGACTTAGGTTGCCCAAAACATCCATCCTCGTAAACAGGGAAAAACCTGCCTGAATCCCAAGCAACCAGTCCTTGTAAGCCCCAAAGCCTTGGGCTCAATACTCTTTTCATATCCACGAACAACTAAGAAGATGCCCTTCGATCTTCAAAACAACCCTCCCCTTTCTCGCCTCCAGCAGTTCGCAGAGTGCCTCCGTGCCCTGATGGCAACAAAAAAAAAGCCCGAAGGGTTTCGGGGGGCCTACCTGGAACTATATGTTCCGAGCACCGGGTGTCAGAAAGAAGTTGGGATGCCGAGCAGTTCACAAACCTCCAAGCCTTTGAGCTTGGGCGCAGAGCTATGAGAAATGGCATGTGTTTCGAGCTCAGACCTCTTTTCAAACCCCAGTACTTGGAGGTGCATGGGCCATGAGGAGTAAGTAGGGCCATGCACTCCTAGAGTTTCGGCATCATAAGCATGCTGACAGGACCTCGTATGACAAAATACTTGCCAAGGGATGGCTTTGCTAAACTGCCAGCTTGTTTTAGTTTGCTTTTCATATATTGCGTTCTGTTGGCATCGGATCATGAGTTGTGTGCTAATTATTCGACTTGCTTTGGTCCAGGGGGGGGGGGGGGGGGGGTTGAGGGTATAACTCCATACATTGGGCTTCCAGCGATTTGGATATAGAACTAAAGGCATAGGCAGGAAACCCTACTTTCTAAACCAACCAGGACCATGCTTTAACTAGTTCAGGATTTCCTACATGAAGCCTTTTAACCCTCCTGAACGCTAGACTCGCTAGACCAGGTTTTTGCACCTAATCACATCGAACGGCGCCTAAACGTCCAGAGACAAAACTTTTTTGGGTGCTTTTTGTGGGTCTAGGGTTTAGGGTTCGGGTTTCAAACCTTTTTGGGGGAAGGGAGTGGGATTTCGACATCTGATGGCTTGAGTCCTGCCTGAGACCTGGGACTGCCTCCGTCAACCCCTCTGCTCCCGCCCCGGCTCCTCCACAGAAGCATGCATTCCACATTTCGTTGTGCAGGGGTGCCATGGCTGCGAAATTGCTGTAGGAACTGAGAACGCCCTTCTTGACGAGTCTTGGTCTAACCTGTTGTAAACTGCTCTGGCAGAGTCTCCTAGTTCGACGACTTACACTCCAGAATGTCATACAATCAGCCTGCACCGCTCGGCTTCGTCGCGACTTCCAAGCAGGAGGAGCACTAATTAGCTGCAACCCCAAAAAATGTCGCGGCGTAGCGCATGGCTGCATGCATACCCTAAACCCTAAACCCTAAACCCTAAACCCTAAACCCTAAACCCTAACCCCTAAACCCTAAACCCCACCTCCTTTCCCCCAAAAGACATCGAGCGCATCTCGGACCAACTTTTCTGTCTCCTCTCAGCTGAGGATGTGAAAAAACCCTCCCCAGCCGCCCCAGCCCTCTGCAGGATGGCGCTTGATTCGCAAGTTGCCTCCTCTATGATGAACAAGGAAACGACATCCAAGCACTGTCAATTGGTACGTTCCCCCTTATTATAGTAACAGTCCTTAATCGGGACTCTAGTACTCCCTATTCTCATCCCTTTTTGCAAGGACTGTTCGTATCTTAAGCCTTGATCGCACTCAGCAGGGTGGCAGCACTGGCGGCCGCAGCGTGTAAGAGAACCATGGGCGGAGGCGCCAACCACCTAAGGACACGAAGACATGGCACGTTCCAACATTACGGTCCCAGCTTTGGGGTAGGGCACCCGGAAAGCGACCATCATTGCTCTCATGTTACAAACTTACCACTACTTCCTACTACTTGGTACTACCTACTATTACTTACTACTACGTACTACTGCTTACTGCTACTTACTACTTACTACTACGTACAAACTACAACTCACTTCGACTTACCACTACTTACTACTACTTACTACTTACTACTTACTACTTACTACTTACTACTTACTACTTACTACTTACTACTTACTACTTACTACTTACTACTTACTACTTACTACTTAGTACTTACTACTTACTACTTACTACTAGTTACTACTACGTACTACTACGTACTACTACTGACTACTACTCACTACTACTTACTACTACTTACTACAATCTAACTAACTCACCCGCTAACTAGCTACTTCCTACTACGTACTATACTACTTACTATGTCCTACTACTTGCTACTACTAACTACTACTTACCGTAATATTTGAATTCTACATCAAAATGCACCCTACCTACAGGCCTCTAAACCTACAGGTGAGCTGACCTGCAAAGTCGGGCTCCTAAATGCATCATCTTCCACCTCACGCAAAACAATATAGCGTTGATGACATTATCTGTGAAGGCAGGGAAATTACTCGCGCACACGTCTATGCCTGTGCAATTCACAGGGGCTCTGATGTAGCGGCTGCTGACGCGATGGCAGCCGTGTCTGCGGCGTCTGGTGATGTCTCGACACAAGCAATACACTTAAGCAGGACCCCTCAATATTCTAGTGCTTAATGATTGCACTTTCGGGGTCAAGGTTCTGTGAAGTTCCGGGCAGGCTGACATGCTTTGATGTTCTGTTGCGTGCCTGACCGCCTGAGCATCTGTGCAGGTGCATCAGCCCGCTCTGACTGATTTTCGAGTTCTTAGGCATGATTCTTCTGAGCATGACCCTCGCCCAGCATCAACGTCATCACAAACGCAACAGGACACAAACCCCGAATTCTGCCTAGACTTCCAAGTACCCCAAAGTAGCCTCCCCCCCCCCACCCTCGCTGCCCAGTGATATATTACATTCCGGTAGGCACTCATTGAGGGGACTTGGAAGGTCGGGCTGCGCTTTTCGGGATACATTGGCTCAAAGGATCTAAGAACCATCCTGGAGAACCTGGCCCACGGTTTAGGGTTTAGGGTTTAGTGAAGCCAGCATGGCAAGCCAGACTCAGGCAAAAACCGTAAAACCGCTAAAGCCGCAACATGCAGCCCGACCGGCAGCAGCCACGACAAAGCCAGCTTTGCAATTTCACACCGGAACCCAGACTCCTCAAAAGGGTCTAAACATCAGCCCCAGAGAAGCCAAGCCCTAAACCATCCTAAGCCCTCCCAGCCTGCAGCAGCAGGGCGGCCCTGCGCCATTGCCCGGCGCAGGCGGCCGCAGCGCTCCGACGCGCAGCCAGGGGGGCCGACAAACGCTGTCTGCAGAAGGCACAGAAAAGGGCACATAGGGTTTAGGGCTTGAGGTTTAGGGTGGGGCATTCAGAGGATATTCCAGGAATCTAAGGTGCATGACTCTGATGATGGGGTTTGAAAGCAGGCAGAATTGGGTGGGATTGCCTTTAAACTTTAAGGTTTGTTTTGCCTGGGTCTCTAGCATGCTCGGGCTTAACTCGAATTCCTTTCTGCGTGGAGCCGTTTGTCCACGGCTTTGCAGAGTGGTGATTCGAGGGCTGCGAACTATAGGCACTGACATTGAAGTGAGCCATGAACTTAGGGGTCTTTACTGTTGGAGACCGCTGCATTTTGTACTGATCAACAGCGGTCAGGGTCAAGACGCGTGCAAAAGAGGTGAGACTGCCGCGCCTATTGCATTTATAGCGGTTAAGGCCAATTTTTCTAAGGGGAAAGAAGATCCACACAACAACAAAAACACACCGCGAAATAGTGTGTTCTTATAGTTGTTTTCAAGTGTGTTCCCGAAAAGAAAACGCGGATCTCGAAAACCGACCGCGTGGGCACTTAAGTAGTGCGCAGGGACTTCGCGCGGGCGCCTGGGGAAGCGCTCCAGTCCTGCCAGGGCCCAGGTCCACCTGGCAAGGGAGGGTTTGTGGTTGGGTTTTGAGCCGTTTTTAGTTGGGTTTTGAGCCCTTATAAACCCTAAACCCTGAAGTTTGAACCCTAAACCCTTTCTGTGAGCCCAGACTCCCGAAGTCTAAACCCTGAACCCTAAACCCTAAACCCATGGCTTTTTTGCGAGCAGGAGGGCGCAAGCATCGTTTCTGATTCCAGGTTACAGGCATCGGACCCTGCAATGAGGGTGTCAGCTGGGGTTGGGCTTTCAGGGCTCAGGGAAATCCCTAAACCCGAGATGTCGAGCTTTGAGGGGGAGCCTGCCCCGCCATGTAGGCCTCGTAGCTCAGAGCTAGGGATTTCCTCTCCTGCCAATTAAGCAACCCCTTGAAAACACCGATGTTGCTGATCGTGATCCGTCAACCTCACTCCCCCACGTAGGATCCCCAAGATTCCGTTCTTTCTCCCACCCTCGGTGTGATGTTGTAAGATTTTAACTCAACTCTTCTCCTCGCCCAGTCTACTCCTCGCCCATCACCCGTATCCCGCTCCAGAGCATCCCCATCGTGTCCCTTGAGTGTCCCACCAAACCCAGATTATTCCCAGATTGCCTAACCCCAGAGTGAGCTCGCAAATTCCTTGCCTGCATGGTGGGGGGTTCGAGGCACGACAATGGGGCATATATGCGCCAGCCTAGCCGCGCCCCCCCCCATACCAATCCTCCCCCCTTTCCTGGTTCATGGTGGCTTTTGGGTTCCCCCCCCCCCCCGCCTGGGCTGTGGTTCATGGGCTGTGGTTCATGGGATGGGTTTCGGGTTTAGCGGGGGCGCAGAAAAAGGCCGTATGCTTTCTTTTGGCCCCATGTGTTGCAACTGGGTTCTGGGAGGATGCCCTGCACTAGACTGTCTTTCTGCATGGACGGCAGGGAAAATCTGAGCATCCTGCCTCTCCTGCCGCGCGCTGGCGTCGACTGCCGAGCTCCTCACACTGCAGGGGCTCATAATTTCTAGCGAATAAAAATCGAGTTCAAGAGGAACGGGCTTAGGGGTTGTTCTGCTCAAAGCTTCACGGCTGAAAACCCGGTTCTGTAGCCCAGGCAAGTCCCCAAGAAGAAGGTCAGGTTGCTGGAGGCTAGCGATGGAGAGCGTTCTTGTGGTAGTTGGGGATGTGTAAGGGCCTTAAAGGCCGATACTAACTGTCCTTAATAGGGATTATCGTAGGGGTACGAGAATCCCTATTAAGGACTGTTTATAGTAGAGTACGATCGTCCCTGTTAAGGAATGTTAGTAACTGTTAGTATAAGGGGGAACATCCCAAACCGATAACCCTGAAGCCTGAACCCAAATGTGGCTTCTTCGTCACCCCTGCGCCACATCTCCGACCCGAGTCAGTAAACGAAGCCCATTTGCGGGCACTGGTAGGTCTCTATCTCATGTTAAACGCCCCAAAATCTGCCCCTCCGCTCTCCTCCCCCCCCCCCCAAAAAAAATAAACAAGAAGTTCCGGCAACACATAGTTCATGGGTAGTTTTACCGGGGCTTTAATTAGGAACAAAATCAGCTCCAGAATCTTGTGCTTTAAATTCAGCCCTTAGCCCTGAAGATCCAAAAATCCAAAACCCCCTATCCTTATCCCAAACCCTTCTTTGAAGCTAGACTTGCTGACTGCCCTTGACACTAAACCGCCAAATGGCCCTAACCCTTTTTGCTTCAGGACCCTAAACCCTAAACCCTAAACCCTAACTAAATGTCTCTCAACTTCCTAAGCTCCCAAAGCTTGCTGAGACCCGAACCCTAGCAAAGATGATAAATTCTAGCTGTTTCTTAGGAACAGGGTTTAGGGTTTAGGGTTTAGGGCTTAGGAACTATGGTAACCCCCCCCCCCCCCAAAGTATCCCTAAGATTCCCTTCCGTTTCCGGGGCACAGTGTGATGATGTTCGGAAGCACGGCCGCCCCCGCCATAGCCAGGAGCATCTCCTGGACGCGTTCCGGCTGGCCTTGCACCAAGGAACCGAGCAGCTTAGGCTTATACCCCCGTCATGTCAAACCGACTTACCTTACACAAACTCTAGACCCTAAACCCTAAACCCCAAACCGACTCACCTTATCATGGTTGCTAAGAAACAAGAGCTGAAGCAGGCTGATTTCTTGCCGCGCCACGGGGTCGCCTTCTCGGCTTCAACAATACAGAGCCTCCTTCAGAGGCTTAGCTGCTTGGCGAAATCGAAGCAGAAGCTTGCAATCCAAGACTTAAATGCTTAGATTTGGGGATTCATCATGGGTCTGCACCTTGGGTTAAGGGTTTAGGGCACACCCTCAACCCGCAAGCCTCGGTTTATTTGAGGCCGAAACTGGGAGTGGCTTCAAGTACTCCCTAGGCCATCGGAGGTCATTGAAGCCTAGTTCACATTCAAACAGCGGCTTCAACAAAACTTGGCGAGAATATTTCGAACTCGTATACCCTGCACCCTACCGGGGACTTGGGATCTCAAATCTCAAAGCACGACTCATTCTCTTCGTCGGATGGGGGCTTGAAGCTGCTCCCGCCTGTTTCTGTGCACGTGTTCGAGGTCTGCTCGAAAGAAGAAGAAGCACAGCCGCAGGCAAGCCAGGCCAAGCAGATGCAGAGGCAAAGCATCGCAGTAGTCGGCGCCAGGTGCAACCAACTTCTTTCGTCGCGTAGATGGAGATATTGCCGGTATATCGGCCCGGGCAGAAGCAGCAAGCAACAAGCCAAGCCAGCCATCGCCACCTGAACGCACAGGATGACCACACGCCAGGAGCGGCCCGCGCGATAAACGCCGAACTGTCCGATCAGCAAGAAGATGGGCACAAGACAGAAGACGGCCAAGTCAATGTATAAGAAGTTGAGGTAGAAGAGGAATATGAGCCAGTAGTCTCCTGGTGCGCTGAGGCGGATGGCTTCTGATATGTGCAAGGGCAGATAGGGCCAAGACGCGGCCCCGGCAGCAAGCAATGTATACCTCAAAATCATGCTGTGGTGCCTGAAATTGCTTTCAACTGAAGAAGCCAATGTCTGCCGCACGTAGTCGTTGAATGCTTCAAGAGCCGACGACTCCTGCAACCTCCTTCCGAAGGCACTGTGGATCCTCGCGTAGATGAGCTCGCGGTCGCAAGGCATGGGCTGCTTGGTCACTGGGTGGCAATGCTGCAGTGTGCAGCAGGTGCACTGAGAGTCCTGCACTCGGAACTCCCTCAGTTGCTGCGGTAGCTCTTCGAGCTCCTTCAACAAGTTGGTCCAGAAGAAGAATTGAAGAGGAAGTACGATGGCTCCCTGAACTACGCACGAGGAACACACCACGGCAACCCTCTGAAACCAGGTCAACTGAAAAGCATAGAGGGCAATGTTTAGTGGAGCTTGGATCATCGTCACACCCACGAAAGTAAGGAGGCAAAGAAGGCCGATCTGGACAGGCACGAAGTGAAGTGTCTGTGCGCTCTTCTGCTTCATCAGGAAGAATCCAAGCTCATAAGAGCACCACAGCCTATGAAAGTATTGAGGCGACCAAAGGGCGACGAGCTGTTTCGACTTGCTGAGGAATTGGTCCAGACTTTGTATGCATCTCGCCTTCAGCACCTCGTCACCCTGCGGTATGCACGAGCTGTCAACGAAAGCCATTCTTGGCCCTCTCAGACACGTCCACGCATACTGCCAGAAGAACAACACAATCAGCTGCACCGTGTGCCCGAAGATTGGCAGCCAAAACGACGTGGGCAGTATGTGAGAGGTTTCCAGCAGTGTCATGATGAGACTCGCTGCGAAACATGCACCGGCAGCTGGGAGACCATTGAAAGCCATCAGCAGCGACAGATGCTTGCTTAAGCGGCTGCTTCCCCAGTCATGGCTGAAGAAGATATCGAACTGTTTGGTCTGCTGGCTGCTGGTCGTGAAACTCTGGGTGGTGCGGGGGCGGCGCCAGTGATGTCCCGTGCCGCTCAGGCATGAGTGTAGCGGAATGCCCCGCAGAAGGGTCGGCTCAAGTTCCACGGAGCCCACAGAGGGATCCGCTGGTTTGGAAGTCACATCCAGCGCCATTTGACCATGGCTTGGCTGTGCCCTGCTAAGAATAATTCGGGGTCAGAGGACCTATTTGCCTTGGAAAACTTCTTAGGGCTCAGGGTTCTGGATCATGATAATCACCACCACGATCCTCAGAGAAGTCTTCACATCAGATGCAACGCAAGCAACATCGGTCCTCACATCCAAAAAATGGAACATCAACCGACTTATCTTGTCATGCTGGCTAAGAAGCAAGCGCTGAAGCATGCTTTTTCTCACCGCACCATGGGTCGTATTCTCAGCTTCAACAATGCTGAAAAGAGCCTCCTTTAGAGGCCCAGCTGCTTGGCGAAATCGAAACTGAAGCTTGCAATCCAAGACTTAAGATTTTGGGATTCATCATGGATCCGCATCTTGGGTAAGGGTTCAGGGCACACCCTCAACCCGCAAGTCTCAGTTCATTTGGGGCCGAAACTGGGAGTGGCTTCAAGTACTCCCTAGGCCATCGGAGGTCATTGAAGCCTAGTTCACATTCAAACAGCGGCTTCAAGAAAATTTGGCGAGAATATTTCGAACTCGTAGGCCCTGCACCCTACCGGGGACTTGGGACCTCAGACCTCAAAGCACGACTCATTCTCTTCGTCGGATGGGGGCTTGGAGCTTCTCCCGCATGTTTCTGAGGCCTGCTCAGAAGAAGAAACACAGCCGCCACAGCTGCAGGCAAGCCAGGCCAAGCAGATGCTGAGGCAAAGCATCGCAGCAGTCGGCGCCAGGTGCAACCAACTTCTTTCGTAGTCTGTCGGAAGACACCGGCGGAATATTGGCCCGGGCAGCAAAAGCAAGCAGCCAGCCAAGCTAGCCATCGCCACCTGGACGCACAAGATGACCACACGCCTGGAGCGGCCCGAGCGATAAACGCCGAACTGTCCAATCAGCAAGAAGATGGGCACAAAACAGAACATGGCCAGGTCAAAGTATAGGAAGTTGCTGTACTCGAGGAACATGTCCCAGTAGTCTCCTGGTGGGCTGAAAAGGACGGCTTCTGATATATGCAAGGGCAGGTACGGCGAAGACGCGGCCCGGCAGCAAGCAATGTATACCTCAAAATCGTGCTGTGGTGCCTGAAATTGCGTTCAACTGAAGAAGCCAATGTCTGCCGCACGTAGTCGTTGAATGCTTCAAGAGCCGACGACTCCTGCAACCTCCTTCCGAAGGCACTGTGGATCCTCGCGTAGATGAGCTCGCGGTCGCAAGGCATGGGCTGCTTGGTCACTGGGTGGCAATGCTGCAGTGTGCAGCAGGTGCACTGAGAGTCCTGCACTCGGAACTCCCTCAGTTGCTGCGGTAGCTCTTTGAGCTCCTTCAACAAGTTGGTCCAGAAGAAGAATTGAAGAGGAAGTACGATGGCTCCCTGAACTACGCACGAGGAACACACCACGGCAACCCTCTGAAACCAGGTCAACTGAAAAGCATAGAGGGCAATGTTTAGTGGAGCTTGGAAAATCGTCACACCCACGAAAGTAAGGAGGCAAAGAAGGCCGATCTGGACAGGTACGAAGTGAAGTGTCTGTGCGCTCTTCTGCTTCATCAGGAAGAATCCAAGCTCATAAGAGCACCACAGCCTCTGAAAGTATTGAGGCGACCAAAGGGCGACAAGCTGTTTCGACTTGCTGAGGAATTGGTCCAGACTTTGTATGCATCTCGCCTTCAGCACCTCGTCACCCTGCGGTATGCACGAGCTGTCAACAAAAGCCATTCTTGGCCCTCTCAGACACATCCACGCATACTGCCAGAAGAACAACACAATCAGCTGCACCGCGTGCCCGAAGATTGGCAGCCAAAACGACCTGGGCAGTATGTGAGAGGTTTCCAGCAGTGTCATGACGAGACTCGCTGCGAAACCTGCACCGGCAGCTGGGAGACCATTGAAAACAATCAGCAGCGACAGATGCTTGCTTAAGCGGATGCTTCCCCAGTCATGGCTGAAGAAAATATCGAACTGTTTGGTCTGCTGGCTGCTGGTCGTGAAACTCTGGGTGGTGCGGGGGCGGCGCCAGTGATGTCCCGTGCCGCTCAGGCATGAGTGTAGCGGAATGCCCCGCAGAAGGGTCGGCTCAAGTTCCACGGAGACCACAGAGGGATCCGAGGGTTTGGAAGTCACATCCAGCGCCATTTGACCATGGCTTGGCTGTGCCCTGTCAAGAACCATTCGGGGTGAGAAGACCTATTTGCCTCGGTAAGCTTCTCGATCTGCGCGGTCCAGGGTTAGGGAGGTTAGGACTTGGAAGGCAAATCAGCTTAGACTTGACCCCCGCGAAAGCCCAACCACTAACTCAAACAAGTGGTCACTGAGAGCCACGTTCCAAGTCAGTTCCAAGGCGAAGACCACCGGACAACACCAAGTGAAAATCACTCGCAACAACGAGAGCTTGCAAGCGTGACCATGGCCAAATCCCACAACCCTATACTACTATATTTGCTTAAGAACCCCAAAACAATTAAACACAATCATACCCTTGATAAGGAAGAATATTTCTATTTTTTCGGGGTTCTTATAAGTAATTAGTAGTATACACTCCGAAAACCCCGGATTTTTAAGCCCAGGTGCCCCCTGCAGCAAGCGCACTGACTGTGCTGTTGAAGGTGACAACTGTCGGCGCGACAGCTGCAAAGCTCATCTGCCTCCCCACACTTGCGGCTCAAGGGCTGCTGAGTCTTAGAATGATCCAAAAAAACCTTTCTCGGAACATGATTTTCAGAAGGTTCATGAGGTTTAGCGGGCCCAGTGGGTAACGCAGCGCGTTCAAGCCATTCTTCCCCAGAAACTTGATTGAAACTACTGGGGTAGCCTTCGGCGTATGCTCTAAGATGCTCACTGTTTCCGGAAAACCCCGAAGTCAGGCCGGATTGCAAAGCTCCCAAGGAAGGTAGCAACAGTATGGCCAGAGCTTAGGCTTGGCTGTCAGAGACATCATTGAAACACTACACTTTGGTGCTTCTGTAGGGCTTTAGAGGCTGTATAGGGCGTCGGGAATCCTTGTGGCTTGAGTGCCCCAGCTGCGTCCTCCGACTCATGGAACGAGCCGTTTGGGGGTTAGAGTTTACAGGGTGTAAAGGGTTTACAACACCCTGCCAGAATGAAAAACCTGAAAAGCCACAGTACCTGTCAACACGCCTCAGGAGCTCGAGTGCTTGGACCCAGTGCGCAGCCTGCGCGCATGCACCGATCCCGGCATTGTATGCCACCTGTCAGCCGACCCGTTATGAGGCTCACGCTTTGTCTTGTGATGGGCTTGAGTTTAACCCCCTCCCTGCTGCATGAATCATTATGGACAAACCGCAAGCTGATCTTGTATGGGCGTGAACCGGACCCCCGAACTAAACCTAAAATCCCTTCATGATCTTCATTCCTTGCTAGCCGGCGGCTCAAGGTGTGGCTGAGCACATTGGGAGGAGTTCCGCTCAAGGTCTTTTCTGCTTGAGGATTGCAGGACGGACTTCAGGACCCGGTGCTTGTGTGTGTGCATGTGTGTGTGTGTGTGTTCAGCAAACGTGGCGAAGCTTCATTTTGCGGTTCTGTTTTTGCTTAATCGCTCTCTCACTCTCTCTCTCTCTCTCCTGTTCTCTCTCTTTCTTTCTCTTGTTCTTTCCATTTATCTGTCTCTTTCTCTTTTTTTCTCTCTCTCTCTCTCTCTCTCTCTGTCTCTGTCTCTGTCTCTTTCTCTCTCTCTGCCACCAAACTCATCAAACAAGATGAACACTCAGGGCCACCGCGTTGGCCACTCCTTGCTCCACCACGCACAGCGCCCGCAATGGCCATCGCCACTCGCCTCCTGAAGTGCTGAAGGAGGTCTTGGGCGGTCTCAATTGTCAGTTGGGAGTGCGCATCTTAAATGTGGTTCGTCGCGCTGCATGTGAGGAAGCCCCAACACACAAAGCCTCCTAATGTGGAGCCTTAAATTATGAACCCGCCCTAAACCCTAAACCCTAAACCCTAAGCCCTACGAACTCCTGAGCATCCTAAGCCCTCTAATAGAGCCGAGGCTCCCTTCTCACAGGCACTGATGGCAGCGCTGTAGCTTCCAGCGTCTGGTACCAGGGCTGCAAGGGACATCGCCGCCCTGGGCTGGGTTGTCTTGGTTTAAGGGTTTGGGGTACCCGCCAAGCAGCCAGGGTTTCGGGATCTTTCGGTACACCTGCAAGTCACGGTTGACGGTAGAGGGCTTATGGGGCTCACGGCACAAAATCTCGTGGAACCAGGGGGAGATTCCAGCCAGGGCTCTTGGGGTACAGGAAGTTTGAGGCCAATGGGAACTGTCCCACGCATCGGACATGTTGGAATTGCTTGCACCCCGTTCTTCAGGTACACGCCTACTCCTGGCTGAGCTGAGGGTCGATGCTACGGGACAGATTCAGGAAATCATGCCCGGGAAACCCCATGTAGTGATCCAATACCCAAAAGCGACACTGCATGTGATGCTTCGGCAGGAGCGTGCACGGGAGAGTGACCCGAAGGCGGGAGCGGCATTTGCAGAACAATGAACTGAGAACTGATGCCCGAAGCGACCCTAAAGAGCCCAAAGTGGGGCCGCAAGCGTGACCTGATCCGTACTTACTCCCAGCTTCTTCCAAAATCTTTCACCCCATGACATTGCCACGCTGTTTGGGGAGATGCTTACAAAGCAAGTGCATACCCAACTACTAGTACAGCAATTGCAATGTAATTAAGTGACTAAAACATATACATATACAAGAACAAGCAAAAGGTATTTTTTTTACCACATATATGTGGGCATGTGTGTACGTGCGCATGTATGCATGTATCATTTGTTTTTGTTGCATACTTATACATAGGTTTTAGAGTTAACGGATGTGCCGTTCCTGGGGTTCACGTGGCCAAGCAAGCCGCCCGAAGCCTAAGCCCGAGAGCCATCAACCCAAAATTCAAGTGCCCAGGCACAGCAAGTGCAAAGAGGCCATCCACTGGCCATCTGTGAAGCCCCCCACAGCCGCGTTGAAGCTGATGGCATTTCGCCGTAGGCTGTGAGCTCCCTTGGCCGGTAGCAATAGCAACCATCGTGGCAAGTCACAGTAGCAGTGGCACTTGCAGTGCCAGTGGTGAAAGCGGTCGGTATCTGTGGGAATCGTCGTTTCAGGTTACAGTACTGGTGGCTATCTTGAAAGATTACGGGTTTTGACATGGAGTTAGTTTTCGGGAAATAAGGAAGCTGTGTTGTGTCCATCCAGTTTAGCTTCTGACCAATACACATGTTTCATTCATGACAAGAGTGTTGATGTCCACCCCTAAACCGCTTCGACTGCGCACCTTGGCTGCAAAACAAGGCAAGGGTCTCTACAGTGCACAAGAACCTAGAACGTGAAGAGGCTCCCCTCCCGCCCCCCAAACCCTAAACCCTACACCCCTCCGCCCAAAAGGAGCCTAGCTTCCATGGAAGCCAGAAGCTCGACGGCGCGCTGGCCCTGTGCTGCGCGGCTGCAGGCCGCGATGGTGGTGTTGTAGCCTTGCTCAGGGCTCATCCTGAAAGTATAGGTAGACAAACCCCAACCCCTAAACCCTAAACCCTACACCCTAAACCCTGAACCCTACACCCTAAACCCCAGGTAGACTAAATCCTAAACCCTAAACCCTACAACCCTACCTACAGCCAAGGTTTGAAAGAAGGCTTGGGGTCTAGGGGGCTTAGTCTCCGAGTCCCAGCTGGGGTTCTGAGATGTTTCACGAGGGGGTCACAGCTCCTAAGCGGCTTTGGACGAAGATTTCTGCGAGGAGTTTGGGCATCAAGGACGCTGGGTATCCCCGAACCAAATGACGCACCAAGGGTCGGTACGGGTTTACCTAGAGCATCGCGCTAGTTTTTCTCTGTCTCTATTTCTCTCTTTCGCTCTCTCACTCTCTCTCTCTCTCTCCGTCTCTCTCTCTCTCTCCGTCTCTCTCTCTCTCTCTCTCTCTCCCCCTCTCTTATATGTATACTTATATCACATATCTATATAGATATATATATATATATATGTATATGCATATACATTTCCATGTGTGTTTTCTAAACACATGTAGAAATCTACACACATACCAAGAAATGCACAGACTTGATGCTAGGCCCAGAAGCTGATGGCATCCGGCGGGCACTGGGCGGGCATGGAGCAGAGAAAATGCAAAGCTGCCTCAATCCAGGCCGCCCCCCAAACCCTAAACCCTAAGCCAGATGCTCATTTCTTTAACCGTGCTGCTGTACCCGAAACACCAAAACCCAAAACAGCTCAAACCACAAATCCTACATGCTCTCAGATGGAGGTGAGATGGGCTCTCTTAGTTTGGCAACCGGCGAATAAGGAATCTCCGCAATTTCCAGGCATTTGATTTCGTAAGCCCTGGAAACTACACGTTTAGTTTTTGGGGTTGCTTCAGAAGAAGTACAGTGAATCAGGAACCCAGAGCCAAAACACTGAATGTTCAAGAAGGGCTCTGCAGCAAGAACTCGTCACGTCAACCTCCAAGTGGGGAGTTCCTAAAACGCTAAACCCTAAACCCTAAACCCTATATAGGCCTACCAGAGGTTCAGGGGTGGAGGGTTCCAAGGTCGTAGAAACTCCCGAGAAGGACACCGACAAGGGACCCCTAATATCCAGACCCCTACAAGTAGCTCAAGCCCCCTTAAGCCCACCTCCCCCCCAGATAGGCAGAGGCGCCTGCCACTTTGATGCCTGCGCCAAGGCGCTCAAGGCGGTGTTGTACGTGATGAGGTTGCCCTTCAGCTGCCTGAGGGGGTGGGGAGGAGGTTTAGGGTTTACGGTTTAGTAGGGTTTAGGGTTTCGGGTTTAGGGTTGGGGAGGGGGGGGGAGGGTGGGCTTGAGGTAGGGTGTTTTTTGCCACCCGACTAGCCACAGCACTGCGGGGTCTGATACTCCGAACTTAAACACAAGTAGGGTTTAGGGTTTATGAAGCAGAAGGGATGCTTCCTGGCTGTTTTCCTGGTGCAACAAAAAAGGGTTACCTGGTGAAGCTTCGGGGTTTGGGGAGTTTTAACAGGTGCCCCGAAAAAGCTAGCAGGTGACCTGTGCAGAACATCAGGATGATTAGAGGTATCTGTTCAAAATTTCCGGTTTGAGGTGATTTCATAGCTTGGCGCTACGTGCTGAGAGATTGCCCACCTTTCGGGCAGCTTGCAGACGAGGAAGAGCGCCACGCTCCACTCGGCTGCGCGCTCCGTGGCGAGGATGCTGCCGCCCAGAGTCAAGATGTTGGGTCGCAGCTGGCCGTTCGGCATGGTGCCCAAGACATCCAAAGCTAAAGCCCAGCAGTCGCCGGTTGCTGCAGTGCTAATCATGGCATTCCAGCAGGCAGTGTTCCCATTGAGCTTTGCGTCGCGCAGGCCCGCAAGGGCCAATGGCCAGTCTTGTGCTGTGCCACCTGCGCTGATGCACCAGATTCTGCTTTGACCCAGTCGAAAAAGAAGACCAGTTTAGCATGAACGAGCCCCGGATCAAGACGAAACGAACACAGAGGCGGCCAAAAATAGTCAGGCGGCAGGCAGCAACAGTTGTGGCAAAGCTGAAAGAATCTGGATGGATTGCTTGGGTGGCAGCTTCACTCACCAGGGCGAGAGAGAGTTCCCAGCGGTCTGATACCTTGCAGGCTGGCTCAACAAAGCGCAACGACGGATTGGCAGAGCAATCTGCTAACTACTGGTGCCATAAATTGTTTTGCTTGTTGTGAAAGCGGTAAGTAGTCGCTGTGGTTGCTGTGGCGGTTGTGGCTGTGGTTGTGGCTGTGGTTGCGGCAGCATTTGCTTTTCTCGCTGTCGCTGTCGCTGTCGTCGTCGCTGTCGTCGCCGTCGCCGTCGCCGTTATTGCTATTGCTATTGCTATGGCTGCTTCTGCTGCTATTGCTGCTGCTGCTGCTGCTGCTGCTGCTGCTGCTGCTGCCGCTGCCTCTGCCACTTCTGCTACCGCTGCCGCGCTGCCGCTGCCGCGCTATACCGCTGCTGAAGCACTGTATAGGGTGTTCCCTATAAAGTTAATTAAGCCATGGCGTGCCGGCAGAGCTGCGCAAGAGCTGATGGCGGTGTTGAAGGCAACAAGATTGCCTCTGATCCTGTGTCGCATCATGGACCTTAGAATGGGAACGTAAAAATTGGATTAGAAGCTTGTGGTTGAACTTGCATTGTGGTCTTTCACAGAATTCTGAATTCTAAGCCAGCAGGGCGAGGGGGTGGTCACCACTGTTCGCAACAAACTAAGCATGGGACATGGCGCGTTGCTGACATGACAGACCATCGGATCCGTATATGGGCTTTCGTCGCGGGCCCATTGAAAAAATACCAAAACAGCAATACTCCGCGCTGTTTTTTTGCAAAGAGGGCACCCTAGTAACGTCGGGGCCAATGACCACTGGCTGGATGTGTCACAGGCTTTGATGGCGGAGCTGTAGGTCACCACCTGGGAATGACAGAGGCAATTTTCAAGGTCCAAGCACGTCTTGCCAAGCAATGGCGGCAATCATCCCTCCCCAACCCAAAAAGCAAAATCTGTTGTATGTTGAGACAAGAAGCATCAGCTGTCAGAGGTATGCCCGCCAGGGCTTCCAGGAGGTGAATGGCTTGCTGCCACCGCCCCGCACGCGCGCAAGCGGTGACAGCACTGTTCCAAGCAACGATGCTGGGCAATATCCTGGAGCGCTTCTAGTTGGCTGAGGCCTTGGGGTGATACGCGAAGACGACAACAGCCGAACACAAGCGCACGATGCTGGAACCGCTTCGGTTTCTGAATATATCGTGGCATCAGCTTGGTAGTTTGTGCCAGCAAAAACTGCAAAACTACAATGTTTCGAGGTATTTGCTGGAGGCTTGTGTGCCGATGCGGACCGAATTCAGCCGTTTATATCTCAGTCCCCAGTGCCACAACCACAAACTTGCCCCATGGACACGGAGGCAGGCGGCATCAAACCCATGGCATGCGGACTCACCTGTTCGAATTTTCGCCATCGCGGCCCGCAAAAGCAAGCACAGGCTTCAACATGCTCGAAGCTTTGACGATCAGGGCTTCAGATCTAAGGACGAGTAGAATGAGTAGAAAGGCCTCAGAATAGGCCATGATCCCCATAAACCATATTTGGAGGATCTTTAACAAGGGCTAGAAGTACCTAAGCTACAGTTCTGAGTTCTGACTGTTTGTAATCCTCGCCTACATATAACTGACCTAGAACCTTCAAGTAGCCTGCCTATTCCGTTTCTCAATTTGAGCGAGGTCTCGAGGGAAGCTGCACCCCAAAGCACATGTTGAGCTGTCAAAATCTTCACGCCTCATCAAATCCAGCTGCAACCCCCCCAAAAGCCGAGGCCTTTGAAGCCTAAGCAGGGTACTCCAGCGATGCAGCCCTGGCCCGAAACCCGAAAACCCTACCCCGAAATAAGCCCTGAGCCGACAAGCGGCTCCATGCGTTCCATCTCCCCAAGCGCCGCAAGCGCCTCTTGCCACCGTGCGCCCGCGGAGCAAGCGGAGATGGCACTACCGAAGCTGAAAACGTCCACTTGAATGCCTCGGAGATCTGGGTTTTGGGCGTTGAAGGGACAGGGTCTAAACGGGGGGGGGGGGGGAATTCTCTTGGAGCCTTTGTTGGAATAGAATAATATGATTCCCGAGAGTTTTAAGGTCATGTTTGAGATCAACTTCCATTTGGGAAGGCGAAGGGGGGCCCAGGGTTGAGGCTCTGAGGGTTCGGCTCTGACCGCAATCCGCCCTAGGAGGGCCTCTAGGGTTTAGAAGCTCGAATTTGGGAGTTCAGGAAGATGATGGGCAAGGCGTCGGGAGACCTGGCAGGCCCCTGCCCAAGGTCAGGTTGCCAGTGCTCTGCATGAATTCCAGTAGCTTCAGCGCCATGGACCTCACTGAGATCATCTGAAGTCATCAGTAAGGAGCTGCGTAGTAGTATCTTCGGTACCACCTATCCCCCAAGACTATGCAATTGAGGAGGAAGTCTTCTTTGAACAACTTGCTTCATGAGGGTTCAAGGTACACAGGGATGGGCAGATAGAGAAAAAAACAGAGTGGAAGGAGACGGGATGAGGCCAGGTTCAAGCAGAAGACTCCATACCTTCACCCTTCCCACAGCGAATAGTACTTAATGATGTTCGGCAAGCTAGAGGGTACGACGTGTTTGGGGCTGCTTTGGGGGACTGTCGATATTCGGGGGAGGGAAAAACCTGCAGCCGCCCAAGCACCCCCAAAAGAAGGCTAGAGTGTACACCCTGGGGGTATCTAGATGTATTCAAGGCCTGCAGGTGGGGGCTCGATCAGACTGCATCAGGCCAAGCAGCCAGCACTTTGCAGCTGCACAAGCGCTGATCACTCTGTTGATGCTAACGACGCCGGCCTGACTGAAGAACGAGCTCGCTAAATGCAACCTAAAAAGCGTGGTGGCCCAGTAGCCATAGTACTATAAGGGTACCCTTTTGGGGCTTAGCTACATTATAAGCACCCTAAACCCCAACCACCTTTAAGCCCTGTAAGCCCTAAACCCTAAAACCTAGAGAAGCACTGCAGTACCATGCCCATGTCATGTAAACACCGGCGCCCTGCAGACACTTGCAATCGGGGAGAACAGCGGAGCAGCAGCTTTTCTGCATCCCTGAAGCGCAATACAGTAAACTCCAGAAAGTTGGAGCATGGTTTAAGGATGATTCGACCTGGGCTTCCCTAGTGTACCTTTTGGGGTTTGGGGAGAAGGATGTTCCAACTTCTTGAAGTTTGCTATAAGCTTACCAGCTTCGTTCGCGATATGCGCCGCAGCCCACACTATGAACTTATGATTATTCTCAGTCCTTCAAAGAGGAACGTCATGAAGTAGAAATGCTACCAAAAATGTCTGACGAGCCGGAAAGAAGTGGTTCGACACACCCCCTCAAGGCATTCGCTTCTCAAGCTGTGTTGAGTGTTCAGGGTTTTTTCTAGAGTTTTACTGCCGGGCATTAGGGAAAGTCATTGTTGCATTCCTTGAGGGTCTTGGTTCCAGCTCCAACTTAAGTGGCTGTTTGAGGGGGTTTCGGTATAGGTCAATCACCATCAGTTCACCAAGATACCCATTACTTCAGAACACCTCTCCGCCTCGAGCCGGCTTTGTCTGTGGCTGTGTAGGAGATGGAGCGCCAAGTCCCAGCGACCTAGCGTCTGGTTTGAGGGTGGTTTAGGACTCGCTTTTTTGTCGTTCAGGGGTGCTTAGGGTTTTAAGGAGGGTTTGGGACTTGGGATGGTTAGGGTTTCGGGGGTTCAGGGGGTTGAAGTTGGGCGTTCGCCTCGCTCGCAGGCAATCAAGGGTCGTTTCGGGCCGCTTTTGTGGACATTGGAATAGTGTAAGGAAGTACCGCCAAGGGAGCATAAACGGCGAACTCCGATTAGCGTGAATACTGAGCTTCGCAATGCGCAAAGTCCTCATGGGACGCTTCAGAGTCCCAATCTGCCGAAGAATCCGGCTTCGAATCCCGAAGCAAAGCCCCTTACTCTGGGAATCCGGTTTGCTGTGTTTCAATGGCCCACAACTCGGACAGGCCAGCTCGAAACTGCAGTTTCCCATCTCGCGGACAATGCTCAGAAAAGAGCTCTACCTAAAGGCGACTGTCAAACTGACTTATAACGATCCCGAGCTAGTTCAGGGTTGAGGATCTCGGGGTTAGGGTGCAGGAAAGGTGTCAAACTCGCACCCTCAGTGGCGCCCTGATTCCTCTAGCCCTTAATCAACGCCACACTTCAATTTCTAGAGTCCCCATAGTGTCTCCCCTACCGGACCATTACGCATTCGATTAACCACCAAACCCTAAACCCTAAACCCTAAACCCTAAACCCTAAACCCTAAACCCTAAACCCTAAACCCTAAACCCTAAACCCTAAACCCTGAACCCTGAACCCTGAACCCTGAACCCTAAACCCTAGTCGATTCACCGATCCACCGGAGTCCAAGGGTCCACATGCCCCGGCGTTGTGAATCGCTAGGTCCAAGGAAGTCACCTTGGTCCCCACCTTCGCAGCACTGGGACGTGGCGAACATACAGGCTGGCAGGTGAAGGAAAGACTTGCGCCTGTCATACTTCGGGAAAGATCTGAGTGGCCGGAAGAGCAGGCATGACCCGGCAAGAAGCAGTGAAACTTTAGGGTTTATAGGGTATAGGGTTTAGGGTTTAGGGTCACCTAATTTTGGCACATCAAGTTTGGGGTACGCCCTGTCGGAGGCCTGCTGAAGCGGCAGTGCTTGCACAGGCATGCCAGGCGATGATAACCCCGATGGCACAACAGATCAGCGGGGCATCTCTGAGTGACTCAGCCCTAGCAACCCGGCAAACCTACAAGCTCTATACTATATCTATGCGTAAGCACACCTGTAAGCCCAAAATAAATCCTCTGAAGTGCACCACCTTTAAACCCTTAAATGTCCAGGGACCTGGAGCCGGTTGCTGCTGAACGAAAGGCAACTCCCATGTGCAGGAGGTTCGCCGCTTCCGTCTTTTTGTTGGTAAGTGCTTTACCCAAAGGCTCCAATGTCCTATATAGTACCTTTTCGGGGTAGGATACTAGAATCCCCTAGAACCAACCCAAAAAGGAACTACATTGGAGCCTTTGGGTAGATTTGCGGGGGGGGGGGGGGGGCTTTTTGGGGGGTTCTTAGATAAGGGTTGCACTATTGCAAGGTATAGTCGGAGTCATTCGCCCTGTCTGAGTCATTTTCTAAGGGTAGTTTCATTGTTAGTACGGGCCCTTAAAAAGTGGACCCCTTACACACATATATATATATATATCTATGTCTATATCTATATATATATATATATATATATCCCACAAACCCAAGGGCCCATACTTCAAAACCCTTTAGAGAAGGTAAGGGACCATACTAAGGGACCATGCAACTACCCTTAGCTTTGGGAAGCCACCATGAAGATTGGAACCTCATGAACCTCCCAAACCCGAATCGAGCCCTCCCTGGTAGCTGAAAGCAGCTGTGTCGGTATTGTCGATTTCTTGAGAACCTGGTGGGCTGTTCCCCCTTATACGAACAGTCCTTACTAGGCATTATACTGGGGGTACTACAATCCCTATTCAGGAGCTGTTAATACAAGGGGGAACATCCCAAGAACCTGGTATTGAAAACAGCTAGCCGACTCCTATAGGTGGGAGCCCGCGGAATTCTGAGCAACCCTTTGGGGTCAGAGTGTATACTGCCCTGGGCGCTCAGCGCTAGCGGTCCCGAACGCCAAATCTCTTTGAAGATGGGGAGGGTTGACCTGCTTTGCCTTCTCGCAGGCGGCAATGGCGCTGGAATAGCTGATGATGTTGGGCCGCACTGCCTGTCTTTTCGCGGGCTCGTAAGCGTCGTAGCTTTAAAGCCTACGCGGCACCCCTAAACACTAAATAATCCTGAAGTCCTAAACTCCTAAACATCGAGCCAAGTCAAGACTCAGCAGATCTTGATCAACAACAAAACCGCCACTGATCCGATTGCTCCACTAGCCGGCATGCTGAAACTACAGTGGTCCGCGCAGGAGGCTATGCAGCCTCCAAACTTGTGAATGGTCAGGAGCAATATTGATGTCCAGGCAGTTGGAGCGTCCCTGGTCTGTGGGCTCCGCACAGTTAATTTTTCCTAGAACGATCGGGCCACGCAGATCTAACTTGGACCCAGGCCCACTTCTTCATCTGCTCAAGATACCTCGGCTGGTGCAGACACGCTGCCGTGTGGCTTCGAACGGTTTTAATCTTGGGAACTCTTCCATGAACTATAGATGCAAGGATGTGCGGCAGAGATGTGCCCTGCGCATGCGCTGCCCTTCCTATTGACGGGATCATGTCCTGAAAAGCAGACCCACCTACAGTTCCAGCCTAGCCCGAGGTCCCAAATCCTTGCAACCACGGCTCGAAACCCTCAACCATAGACCTCTCAATCGAGCCGAGGAGCACCAAAGCCATTGACCAATTCGCGCCTTTCTCGCAAGCGCCTTAGCTTGGACGATCTTGGACGCTCACCTTCTGAACCCTTTCAAGCCCCTGTAGCCAGCAACCAGCAAAGTGTTCACCCTTAACAGGGCTCCGTCCGACGGAGCGTAAACCCACACGGTACCGAACACTCCCCCAACTTACCCTTCACATCCCTTCACCAACCCGAAAGCCTACACCTTAAAGCTCCACATCCAGGAACCGTCGCGTAGGAAGTAGACGTATTCAGCGCGAAAACCTAGAGCCTCCTGGGGGTGTGGGGAAAATGAAACAACAGTACAGTCATGGCAGTCATAGCAGTCGTCGTCGTCGTCGTGTCGTCCTGGTCGTCCTCGTCCTCCTCATCGTCCTCGTCGTCCTCGTCGTCGTCGTCCCCATCTAGTAGTAGTAGTAGTAGTAGTAGTAGTAGTAGTAGTAGTAGTAGTAGTAGTAGTAGTAGTAGTAGTAGTAGTAGTAGATGTGGTAGTAGATGTGGTAGTCGTAGTTGTGGTAGTAGTAGTTGTGGTAGTACTAGTTGTGGTAGTAGTAGTTGTGGTAGTACTAGTTGTGGTAGTAGTTGTTGTGGTAGTAGTAGTTGTGGTAGTAGTAGTTGTGGTAGTAGTAGTAGTAGTAGTAGTAGTAGTAGTAGTAGTAGTAGTAGTGGTGGTAGTAGTAGTAGTAGTTGTCGTCGTAGTAGTAGTAGCAGCAGTAGTGGTAGTGGTAGTTGTAGTGGTAGTGGTAGTAGAAGTAGTAGAAGTAGTAGAAGTAGTAAAAGTAGTAGAAGTAGTAGTAGTAGTAGTAGTAGTAGTAGTAGTAGTAGTAGTAGTAGTTGTAGTAGTTGTAGCAGTAGCAGTAGCAGTCGTAGTCGTAGTAGTAGTAGTAGTAGTAGTAGTAGTAGTAGTAGTAGTAGTAGTAGTAGTAGTAGTAGTAGTAGTAGTAGTAGTAGTAGTAGTAGTAGTAGGAGTAGTAGTAGTAGTAGTAGGAGTAACAGTCGAAGTAATAGAGATAGAAGTAGTAATAGTAGAAGAAAACAGATGTAATTCGGACTCCGGCAAGCCACAATCAGAAAATGCTGGGATTGCAGGGGGTTCTGATGCACCGCCAATGCAAGTGTCTAAGCATGCTACAGACCTTCCTGTTCCTGAACCCAACACCCAAGCCTTCGGCTCAGAAGTTCTAAGCTTGATCTCCCAAACCCTGAAGCTCCAACTGTACATTGAAACCCAGGCTCTCCTCTAACTTTTGTGCCGAAACACTGATGACAGAGCTGTACCTGGCCACCGCCCGGCTCCGAAAGTCAGTTGAGGTTTGGGGCTTCTCTGGTTGCATGGGGTGTGAGGGCACACGGCCTACTACAGCCCTAGGCTCTGCACCCGCAAAACCCGAATCATGATGACCGGCACTAAAGCAGGTCGGCGCTGATTTTTCCCGACGCCCCGTCTCAGGAGCTTTCGCTGTCCGCGTAAGCTCCCAGGAGGCCGCTGCCGGCCGCTGTGGAGGTTTCCTGCAGCGGGCTAAAGAAATTGTTAGGGTTTATAGGGTTAAGGGCAGTTCAGGGTTATTATGCGTACGCCGGAAGCATAAATGTTTACCCTTCTCCCTGCAATACCCTTGAGCTCCCAGTAAATATGCAGTACCTATATTGGGGTCTAAAGTCCGTTAATAATGATACCTACTTTGGGCTATTTGGGGCCTTAGGGATGCAGAGAACATGTCGGAAACCCGCGCCGTTGAGCTGGTCGCTGGCGCCGGTGGCCCTGGGGCATCATCCCCATCAGCACAGGGCCTCCCAAGGAGCAATGTATGCAGTGCTCCAAGTGCTTCTAAAAAGAGTGTGAGAGTGAGAGGCCATTCGAGTGTGTTCAGGCAACCGTGCGGTAGTTCATTTCCGAGATTCGGACGGAAGAATCAAGCAACCAGAAATGCAAATTTAGGGCTGCGAGTTCAGTTGATTCAGAGCTTAAAGGTGGTCAACCCGAAAAGAATCACTTCCGGGGGTGATCGAAAATAAAACAAGCCCTTCATGGCCCTTCTTGATTCTCAAAACTTGCACTATAATGGAAACACAAACATCTCCATGCATCTGCACCTCTACCCAGGACTTGAAAAGTCTAAACCGCGAGACCCAGAAACGACGCAGCCGTCTCCTATAAAGCTCCGGGCTGGGGCTGACACAAAAGACGTTTTGGGGTTTAGGATTTAGGGTGATGGGACTTCGGGTTTGGGCCTGAGGGGGGCTTCGGGCTTCCATTCCGGGGTGTCTTGCGCCTCACGATTTAGGGTTCCCAACCCTAAGCCCTAAACCCTAAACTCTAAACCCTAAACCCACCATCTTTGGCATGTTGGCCTCTTGCTGTCTGGAATCTCGGGACCTTGGCAAAGTATGGGCCAACGCCCGCTTGCTGCTGGTTTTCGCTTGCCACGCGGTGTTCCCCAACCCTTTTGCAGGAGAAGGCCCGTGCATTTTAGAACTGGCTGGTTCTTAGTAGGGAATGCGGGGAAGGAGGTGCCCTATGTAATCCGTTAAAGGGTCTATAGAGGGCCCTAATTCCCTCATTCCCTACTAAGAACCAGGGAGACAATCTTTGCAACAGGATCGAAGGCATGCTCCTAGGGTTTTACATAGCCCATTGCCCGCCCCGCGTGCTTCTTCTTTCAAAACGAACACACTAGGAGTCTCTCTGCTCTCTTCTCTCCTCTGCTCTCTTCTCTCCTCGCTCCCTCCCTCCCTCCCTCCCTCGCTGTCGCTGCCGAATCTCAATGTCTGGGGATGTTGTGCAAAAAAAGGTGCGGTGAACCGTTGAGCTGGGAGGCGCTGGGGAATCTAGCTGACAGAGCCGTGCCAAGAGGCCCGGGGACCTGTACGACAGGCACGTGCGAGGTAGGTAACATACATCTGGCTGTAGGGGAAGGGAACTATCCTCCTTTCAAGACTGACTTTGTAGCCGAAACGAGCCAGGGAACCATTTCCAGCAGCGTCATCGTTCGCCTTTCGCTTCACCTATACAAGCCAAGTGGGGTCAGACGCAGCAAGCACTGAGGGAGCAAGGTAGGAGCATTGAGAATTCAACAGGCTCTTAACTTCTGGAGACCTGATCTCCAGAACGCATGCTCAACGTGCTACATGCCCTTTGGACCCTCTTTGGCATCCACAACCCCGGGTGGATCTCCCAAGGTTCATAGGTACTTAATTATTCAATTATGACAGATTATGACTGTACTTATAACCCACTTATAACCCTATTGGGGCACTTCAGGGGCTTGTAAGTGAGTTAGAAGACCAGTTATTATTGGGTCATAAGTGCCATGAACCTCCAAGCAGTGGTTGTGGGGTTCAGGGACTCTTGCGCCATGACAGCTTTAGCTTCCAATAACTCAACCGGGCACCTGGAAAGCATCAAGCCCGAAACACTGTTGAGCTCTCACCTTTGCCAACCGTAAACCCTAAACCCTAAACCCTAAACCCTTTTGCCCTAAACCCCCCTAAACCTGCCAAGTACCGATGGCCTTCACTGTGAACTTCGGCTTTGCTTTTGCAGCCTGGCGGCAAACTAATGGAAGTCGGGGCTTCCAGGGTGGGCCTTAGGATTACTTAGGGTTTTTGTGCTTAGGGTTTCGCATACCGGGGCTTTCAAAGCCATCACCTTAGCCATAAAAGCCTAAAGCCTATAAGGGGTTCTAAACTATGATCCATGAACCCTCACAACGCCTTAAAGCACGGCTCATGCCACACCAAAATAGCGATTATATATATATATATATATATGTTTTTTTTTTTTTTTTTTTTTGGGGGGGGGGGGGGGGTGGGGGGGCTGGAAAAGAGATAAGAGTATTTTGTGGTCAAAGGAGGCTCCCCTAGCTTGGGACATGCCCAGACCTCAACCCTAAACCCTAAACCCATCTTGTTAGGCCTGGGCAGTGGCCGTGGCCCGCTCTGCGACAGCGGAGAGGATCGCGGAGCCTACCTGAAGAGGCTCATGCTTGGGGGTGATGTCTGAGACCATGGAGATCAGGATTTAGGAGTTTCTGTCTATGGTTTATATAGGGACTACTTTTTTAATTATATGGTTTGTAGGGAAAGTTTTCCATGTCTCTTACATCTTTTGCGCCTGGCAGCCAGAAGGCTCGGGGCTGACTAGGCTGCAATGGCTAAGGTTATTATCGGGGCCTCAATGATTAGAATGGGGTTTTGGGGTTATCGTAGCATAATTATAAAGGGACCAGAAGGGAATAATATCAGTAATTATTCCGACCCCCCGTGTTTTTCAAGGTTTCGGGCACAGCTCCCGCATGCGGCGGTCATGCCCTGAACACCTGCATCACGCCACCCACGCCCCTTAGATCGAGCAGAAGCAACTTAATTAGCCCCGAGATCCCTTTATGTGCTCTTTTGTTCCCGGACTCTCTGAGGTGCAGGCTCTCTAGCCCTAAACCCTAAACCCTAAACCCTAAACCCTAAAGGCCCTAAACCCTAAACCAAAACCAGTGCCGCCCGAGTTGCTTGAGTCGCCTTGGGCGCCTTCGCGGCCGCGGAGCCTGAGCTGTAAGTATTTCGCAAATAGGGGTACCCTTAATATCCCTCCAAAACAGCGTATAATCCTTATTATCGGAACCCCTCAACAGCGTGCCCCCATATTTTCGGAAACCCCCAAATGGGTTTGTAGGGCTTTCGAGTTTAAGGTCGTTTTAGGGCACCCGAAACAGAGCTTCGGGCTTTTTGGGTTGACAGGGCACCCTGAAAAGGTTTTCGGGTTTTAAGGTTTATTGTAGCGCACCCTAATTGGTTTTCGGGTTTGTTTACAGGACGCCCTAAACGCAACCCCCCCCCCCCCCCCTTCCCTCGAGCCTCCTTGAAGCCTCCAGCCTTTTTTCAGAAATGATGTAGGGTTGAAACCCCTTCTTCCCAATATCAGACGCCCAGCTGCTTGAGGACTCTGCAGGCTCCGAGGTATCCAGCTCCTCTAGTAAGGCTTGAGGTATCCAGCCCTATACACTCTAAACTGTTTAGACCCTATAAACTGTTTAGAGTGCACCTTGTTACATCCAGGACTCCAAGAAGACAGCCGGCTTAGATGTACACTAACTGGGGCCCAGCGCACACGCACAACCAGCGGCTACAAGATGACATAAGCACGCCAAAGCACACAGACCCAAAACCGCAGCCTATTGGCTTCAGTGCACGATGACATGGTGCACTCGATCACACATCTCGTCCGTTGAAATGACAGGTAACCACTCAACCTCTGTTGCCATAAGCCCTAAAACCTTTTGAGTCCAGACTCTGGTCCTATACCCTAATTAAGCGCTTTGCCCTGAGTGCAACCCTAAACCCTAAGACCCCTTGTCGCCCTAAACCCAGGCCTTGTTGCCCTAAACCCCTTGTTGCCCTAAACCCGGGGTTTTTGAGCTCAGAGTTCGGAGGTCCGGGCGTTAAGAAACGAAAGACATATCCCCCCGCAAGTCTCGCAGAATTTTGTGGGCTTCAGTGCTGGAAGTTTAGAGTGTTTCGGCTCTCACACTCGCACAAGGTTTAGAGTGTTCAGGCCTGGGCTGTTTGGGTATATGAGGGTATGTACTGTACTCAAGGCCCATACAAATCCAGCCGTGCCATGGCAGGAAGATACAATCTCCCGCCCCACTTCCCCCGCGGAATATTGGGGGGCCAATGCAGTTTTGAGCCGCTGGAACCCTGAGAACCTGGAAGGAGGCATGGGCCTTCAAACCCACAGCAGTCCTTAAGGACCTCAACGCGAATGAAGCAAAAAGCCTGAAGAAGGCCCTAAACCCTAAACCCTAAGCTCTCCCGTCAGGTCCTCATCCAACTTCCTCTTGGCCTCCTGTGGTTCGGTCTCTGAAGGAGAAGCTTTCGGTACATCGCAGCCGGGCGTAGGGTTTAGGGTTTAGGGTTTAGGGTTTAGGGTTTAGGGTTTAGGGTTTAGGGTTTAGGGTTTAGGGTTTAGGGTTTAGGGTTTAGGGTTTAGGGCTTCTAAGTTAGAAATCCTGAAAAAGCATGCGCTAACTCCTATAGAGACTGACGACTCAGGGGCTCTTGAGTGTGAAGGTTGTCGCTGAGCGACAGTGTGGACGGCAGCCCCTCTAGGCTTCCCATGATGCTGAGTTTACGATTTTAGGGGTACCTTATTGGGATCCTTGTAGGGGATCCTACTATTTGGGGGGTCTATACTAGGGGTCCCTGATCTCCGTAAACCCCCATTTCGTGAGCTGACGTGGCGCCTGCTCCTTCTCCTCTTTGAAGCCCTTCAGCTCCTCCATTTCTGCCTGTCGGTGAGGGCTGGGTGACGTTTCGTGCTGAGGGGTGGAGACTGGCAGAGTGTCCGTGTCAAAGCCTTCTGCAAAAAAATGTGTGAGGACATGTGCCGCAGCCTACTTTAGCCTACTGTGAGGCCAATGGGTCGTTACCAAATAGGGCTATATGAATCCCAACGCGTGTGTTTTAACCAGTTACAGCTATTCTTGAAACTCCGCTTCTACATCCCCAGGAACCTCCGAGTGCTTGCCTGTTATGTGCAGGCCCATATGCTGGATTCATGTCTTGTTGCTCACGGGCTGGATTCGTAGAAGCTTCGGAGATAGCATCGAAACTTCAATGATGTGTGAAGGGAGGCCGGGTCGGACAGCCTGGGTGGTTCAAAGACTCTTGCACTCTCCCTGCCTGTCCAAAAAAAACAAACCATAGTGGTGCTGTAGAGCTGAAGGTTAACCATGCCACCATTTCACCAAGAAATGTGCCCCTCGAAGTCTCATCTCCGGGTCTACCCTAAACACTAAACCCTAAACCCTACTCAAAAAGCACGGGTCTCTGCACAGCACCTGCCTTGGACAGCTTCTCCTCGTCTGCACTTCGGGCCTCTTCCTCGTATGAGCGCTGAACAACAGATGCAGCTAAGCCACACCCTCTTAGGGTTTAGGGTTTAGGGAAGCGGCGGGGATATGATACTCAAGAAGTAGCTGCTTCCATGCTTGGATACCACCCAGACAGGGTCGCGTTTCGCCGGCATGGTTCTGCAATTGTTCATGTGCTGTCTTGCCGGTGTTGAATTTGGCACGTCAGCCGGACGCGACACACGCAGCTGTCCTGCTTGAAGAGGTAGTCCAAAGCCCCCTGGATGCTTGCGTCGCGGTTGCCCAGCCTTTTGTTCATTGTTCGGATGGCATCAAGGTCCTGGGAGCGGGAACGCGGGCAGTGGGGCTAAGGAGCACACAAGGACCCCATCTAAACAAGAGCATCCTGGCTGAAAGTACCGTTCCTCGAGGCGCTGCATCTCCGACTGAACGTCCACAGCTTTCTGCTCGAGCGCCTTCATCTGATCCTGGCAAGAGTTCGTGACGGGAGGGCGAGGAGAAAACATACAGCTTCAGGATTTCCCAAGTAGGGTGTCTTGCATAACGCTTAGGGGTATAAGCTTGAGCCATATAACGGACATATAAGGGGTATATTGGGGAAATGCTCACCTGAATAGTACACAGATTGTGGGAGCTGGGTTGTGGCCGATTCTCAAGTCGGCATCTGCTGTAACACAGGCGCCTTGCTCTACAGTAATTGGTTCCTCGCCTCATAGGTCGACCCTCCAAAACCCTCAGAAAAAACATGCCAAAAATGACCCTCTTAAACCCAATAAGGGAACGTGTATAGTATCCCAAGGGCCTACCCAGCCTGAGGGTTGTGGGATTTAGGGTTGATATGGGGGCTCGCACACCTGCGGTGCTGTAGGGGCGCTATCGAAACTTGGCCCCCGAGCGACACAACCCCCAATGAACCTGCACAAACAAAAGGAACCATCAGACAGTCGTATGAGAAAACCAGATACTACACGGGCCTTAATGATTAGAACAGGGTTTTAGGGGATACTATCGTACAAGTATATTAATTATTCCGACCCCTACAGTGGCTTCGAGCATTCCCCCCCGCTCTCTAGTAACCTTAATTAGGCTTAATTACCCCTAAAACGCCTTAATTTAGGCGGGGGCGGGGGGGACCTAGGGGCAGTAGTATAGAGGGTAGAAGGGAACCTGTGACATCCCCAAAGCCGCAATGGTCCTGAGCCGCTTCCTTCTCCTTCTCTTGCCTTCAGGGTGAAGGGCAGGGTTAGACTGCGCTGTGAGGATTCGGAGCTAGCATTTAGGCGATATTTTGGGGCCTTGTTGGAATGACAAGTCCGTGATGTCCCCCAATAATATGTAGCAATATACTGCTGCTGTGCTGGGCGTCAGTAAATAACACCGAACCAAATCGGGACAAGGAACCCACGCTGCCTCGCACCCCGCACCCAAATCAAAAAGCCCTATTAGCCCTGCAAGCCCATAAGCCCTCGACCCAGCAAGCCCCTACCTGTATGACAAAGGACCAAGTTATGAACAGCCAAAAACGTCCATGCACGTTAGATTCGTGCAGTGGCTGCTTTTGGTGCCCTGATGTGGGAAACCACCAGAAAACCTCCCAAATGGCTCAGCCCAAACGAAACAGAAAAGAATCAGAGTCCAAGACACCGAACCCCAAGCATCTCTAAACCCTTTGTTAACCCAGGACTGCTGAGGAGACAGCGAAACCCTAAGTCAAGTAGAGCCAAGATGCTTGAGCTGGGACTCCATGGCATCAGCATCCTTCCAAGCCTCGTAGGTGCCTCGAGCAGTTGCGTCGTCGGTTGACATTGCTATATCTTTTTTAAGGGTTTAGGGTTTCGGGTTTAGGGTTAGGGTTTTCAGATTCAGGGTTTAGGCATTTTTTTGTTTGTTTGGGGGGGGGGGGGGGGTTCGAGCGATAATGCTATTGGCTATTGGTAAAATATCATATATGCCTGGCGGCATGGCTGCAATTTCGGGTTCAAGGTTAGGTCTGCTTCTTTTACCTAGTTTTGAAGTAAACATATATGTACATATGTATATGTATATATATATATATGTACGGCTTTTTACAATACTATAATATTTGTATAAGTATAAAGAAATATATATATATATATATAGAGAGAGAGAGAAAACTAAATTTATATCAATATTTATATTCATATTTATACATGCGTACATGCATACATGTATTTGCGCATAAAGCACAAATTGGTGTGTCGGTGGCAAATGCGTAAAATCTACACGGGGGGTTGCTCTTTATTCGAGGGCCGCGCTCTTGTGCGGCCCAAAGCCTTTCTATTCGTGGAAGCCCCAAACATAACCTACCCTTAAGGACGAAATGAGCCCTAAGAGGGTTTATGGTTCATATACCTGATAGGAATGATAGCAGTATAGTGTATATGACCCCAATTTAAGGTTTTTTTGGTCCCTAAACTAAAACCTTGTGCCACTTGGCCATCATGGCAGAGGGCCACGCATAGCTTGCCCCAACTTGATTTATATTCGCCCTTGCGCACTCTGTCCTGAGCCTTCATCCAAGATGCTTTCAGCACACACTAACCTACTGTCAAAAGGCTGGCATACACTCACACACTTGTCCCAGTTCAGGGCACTTTGCTACCCTCCCAAAAAAACACGGAACTGCAAGTAGGCGTGAAGCTTGTTTCTGGCCCAAGGCTTGCATCTGCCCAAGGCTTCCCCTGCATCACATTCGTACGCCACTTTTGACTGCTGAACGGGAGTCCTCTGCAAACTCACATTACTCTCACATCACTTCCACAAGCTGTTGTGCTGCAGCAAAGAGTCGCTTGCCACCCGACTCCATGGTATAGTCGGAATTCCTTATCAGTTGCAAAGGGGAGGAGCCACCACCGCCCCCTTCCCCCCCCCCCCCACAAACCCACAACACCGAGCAAGATCCAGAAAAAAACGCTCCAAAACCTTGTGACGGTGCTAGGGGGGGCGCTAGCATACACAAGGTTGCTGCAATCAAAATATATCAAAATGCACAAGAACAAAGCCAGCTCAAGGCTCTTTGGGTCTGTCTTGAAGGTGAACTCGGACCAGCAGTGTCTGCATCTACCGTAGAACCGGTACACCTGCCCGCGAGCGACGATGGATGCCACTCACTCTGGGCTTCTCGAGTTTAGGGTTTTTTGAGGGTAAAGGGTCGGGTTTGGGGGTTCGAGCCGCCATCTACTTCGAGAGCTACTTCGAGAGCCCCGTAGTACTGTAGCAGGGGGCTGGGAGGGCGGGAGGGTCGAGGCCTCAAGAAATGAGCCTCCCTCATGGCGGGGTGTCACAGTGAACCTTGCAACGCTTTGCTTCAAGCTGGATTGCGGCATGAAACGGTCTGGGTGGGAACCATGTCACACGGGCGCACACGAATGCGTGAACCTCTTGGGAAGATCCCGAATGCTGGGCTAGCTAAGTCACCAAGAAACAAAAGCCATGTACAATTCTTACTTCAGAGGTTGCCACCCCCGCCCCGTTTGTTCATGATGCCTCTCTTTCTCTCTCTGTGTCTCTTTTCTTCTCCTTATTTTTTGCGTTTCATCTCTTACATGTTTTCCCCCCTCTATCTCTCTCTCGCTCTCTCGCCAAGCGGGCCCGCGATTCCCGCGGCCCCATGACCCTCTTAACTCTAGAAGTCCTATAGGGCCCCGAAGCTTTGAATCAGGCAAACCCTACCTTCAGCCCAAGGTAGCTCTCGCGCTTGATCTGCTCGACCTTGGCCGTGAACTTGGTACCTCGCGAGCAGCTGCAGTTGCACTCATGGGCGCCCTGTGAAGATCCTTTGGGGTTGAGGCTTTCGGGAAGAGGTTTGTGCACAGCTTTTGACGGGCAGTTCTCAGGCAACCCCCGAGACATAGTGAAAAAGGGACAGAGATTTAATACATCATGCCGAACAAGAGATATCAATCATGTGACCACCTGCACAGTGGTGCACCAGGGTTTTTCATCACATATCATCACGTTTGCAGTTTTCACTCTCGGCTTAGAAGCCCCAAAAGCCCCAACAAACCCTGAAGCCTCAACAGCAGACCCGGCCTGTGTAGTTGTACTCCTTGCATGAGTCGCAGACCATGGTAAACGGGAACCTGAGCGCTCCCGGAGCTTGAAGCTTGGTAGCCCAGGAGCCATAGTACAACAAGGGTGGGAAACCCCAACAAGGGGCAGAAGGGGTACCACTGGGCCACCAAGGAAGGTTCGTGGTACCAGCACTTGCCGCAGTAAGGTTCTACGAATGGTGAACCGACCTCGGTGATTCGCAGCCCTCGACCCTCTGTTGCCTAACAATTGGGCCCTTCGGGCCTTTGTATCAAACCCCAAACCCTTTTTGCAACTGGGACTCAAACCCTAAACCCTAAACCCTGTCTCCGCTCTTTGGGCGGCTCCAGCTTCTTCCATCGCCCCAAGAGCCGTTGGGTAGAGCTCTTGACTCTCGGACCATTCAAGCTCTGGAATACTACTAGAACCGGGAGTAACCTAGGAACAAGAAAGGGTCCCTTTTTGGTTTTAAGGGGATTAGAAGGGTTCTAGGCTAAGCACTTTGAGGCTGAGAGTGTTTAGTAGGGCTGTTCAGGGTTTAGGGTCTGCAGCCAACGCACCGCCCGAAAGCCCTGAACCCTAAGAGCACCCCTAAACCCTACAATTAGCCCCAAACACCCTTTTCGAGGCCTCGAAGACAAACGAAAACAGCAAAACCCTAAACCCTAAACCCTAAACCCCAAACCCCTGAACCCTAGCCAGAAACCCTAAACCCTCAAGATCCTAAGCCCTTGGAGGCGGCCCAAGCCGCATCATTCGGATGTTCATCATCTGGGGGCCCTTGGGCTTCAAGGCCTTGCGCTCAGCTTGCAGGTTCTTTAGGATCCAGGGTTTAGGGGTCGGGTTTAGGGTTTAGGGAGTTTTTTTGCCACCCGGGAGTTTAGGGTTTTTTTTGCCACCCGCCTAGCAGACCCTCGGAGTTTAGGGTTTAGGGTTTAGGGTTTAGGGTTTAGGGGTAGGGATTAGGGTTTAGGATTTAAGGTTTTTTTGCCACTCGCCTAGCTGACTCAGAGAGACGCACTAGGGAACAATGCTCGTTACTACTTTGTAAAATGTTGGTTCAGGGTTTCGCCACCCGCACGAGGGTTTAGGGTCTAGGGTTTAGGGTTCAGGGTTTAGGAGTAGAGTTTAGGATTTAGGGTTTAGGGTGAACTTTTTTGGACCTAGATCAATGAGGTTTTGCAGGGTTTGCCCCTGGGTTTCAGGGTTTCGCTGGGGTCGCGTGGGCTTGGAGGGTCCATGGACAAAACTGAACTTGCGACGCTAGGGTTGTATGGGGTCTTAAGGCCCATAGACACTGACAGATTTAAACAGATGTCCACAACAAGCAGTTCACTGAGGCTTCGGAATCTGCTGGGAGCCCTTCAATCTACATTGCCTGTCAACGCTAGTCCGAGTCCTGGGGTGCTCTGAACAGCAATCTCTATGAAAATCCGTCCGAGCTCAGCCGTGAAACGCACTGCGTCAGAGCTACATTTGGAATCCTGATCCAGATCAAGACCCTCATGAGCCCCATCTACAAGCTGTCCCTGCACCCTAAACCCTAAACCCCAAACCCCAAACCCTAAACCCTAAACCCTAAACCCCAACAGAGGGGCCCGGAACTTGCCAAGATGCCTTGACGGGCATCAACTTCGAGGCATCGAAGTCGGGTGGGTAGTACACGCCAGCAGTGAAGGTCCATCCTGCCGGAATGCCGTGCTCGCTCCCGTCGCTTAAACCCTTCTTTAAACCTTAGGGACCACATGAACCTTAAAATTGGGGTCATGTTACCCTATACTACCATAATTACTATTAAGGTATATGAACCATAAACCCTTTTAGGGTTCATTTCGTCCCCAAGGGAACCCATCACCCTGAACCCTGATAGGGCTGAGACCCTGTTTCTTGCAGCTGCCACCTCACCACTCAGCGCTAAACTCGGGACCTTCTTTCTAGTAGGTCTCCAGTAGCTCTAGCGATAGGGTGGTGCTCATGGTTGGCTAGGGAATTCCATAGGCTGTGGGCTGCTACCTCTGAAAACCAGGGGTGACGAAAGACCCAGAAGCGCCCAAGCCACTAAACCCTAAATCGCCAAACCCTAAACCCAACAGTCAAAAACCATGTTGCATCCGGGCCTGTGAAACTGCCGTGCCGCCCGACACCCCAAGCCCCTTCCCTTCGCACCCCGCCGCCCATCCCCTGTGCCTGCCAAATTGAAACGCTAAACCCTAAACCCTAAACTCTAAACCCTAGCCCTACACCCTAAACCCTTGAATCTCACAACCTCGCCTACGAAGGCGCTCTTCATAAACTTCGATGACATCGTGCCGTCCGCCATGGCGACGAGGACCTGGGCTGCGGTGGGGGCGTGCGAGGCCTAGACTGTCTTTAGGATTTAGGGCTTAGGGTTTAGGTGGTTTAGGGGTTAGAATAAGGTCTTGGGGTGAATATAATATACTTAGGGATCATAAGGGAATACACTTCGCCCCTTAACCCCTTGAGATTGCTCTTCTGGCCTCGGGCTCTCTGTAAGCCCTAAATACCACATCGGGAACCATAAACCCTAAACTTTCCCAACCAAGGGCCCTAAAGAACTTCCATATCTACAGGAGGGAGTTGAGGTGTCTAGGCTTGGGCTGATTTGCAATCTCAATGTTTGAGGGTTTGCGAAGTTGCGGGGAGCATCGATTTCATGCTACATCCATATCCCTGCATACAGTGCTTGGCGGGAAATTTGCGGCTCACCATGAAATTAGGCTGCTTGGGTGGGGCCCGAAAATCTTGTATAGAAGCCATGACCGGCACAACGGAACGATGGAAGACAGCGTTGGGGCTTAAGCATTGCATAAGGCTCAATATTCGACTTAGGCTTTGGGGGAACTCACAGCAAAATCCGTTGAACCCAGCTGCTGCTGGCTGGGCCCACGCGGGCTCCCAGGGCACACAAGGGCTGTACAAAATGCAGGGCTGGGGCTGGATCCCTTGTGCCAGCTGGCTGGAAAAGGTCGCGGCATGCCGGCTTTAGGTGCCAGAGGTGTTGGGTTCAGTGTACTACCACCACTACCACCACTACCACCACTACCACCACTACCAGCACCACCACCAGCACCACCACCAAAACCACTACCACGACCACGACGACGTGGAGGAGGAGGAGGAGGAGGAGGAGGAGGAGGAGGAGGAGGAGGAGGAGGACGAGGAGGAGGACGAGACGAGGAAGACGACTACTACTGCTAAGCTTGGGCGCTGAGGTAGGCAGGTTGTCATGAGACTTCGAAATAACGACTTTGCCAAAACGACTGCCGAAAGGGATGTGCGTCCCTGGTTTTAACATTCACTCCGTACTCCCCCATTTGTGATGAGAGCCCCTTTTGGTCCTTGCCCTGCCGGAAGCATCGCCGGCTTTGCAGGACCACATCCGGTTTGAGGCCGGCGTAGACCTCACACGTAGCCAAGTTTGTGGACATGGCAAAAATAACTGGCAATGTTTACGCACATTGCACCTATACCTTCAGTTTTCCAACCCAAACCCAGATTCGGGTTTGCACGATGGGGCCAGACGAAGTTCGGTTTTTGATGGGAATAGCCCAACAATCCCAACCGCAAAAAGGCCCGCAACTGGCCATTGCTTGGCATCCAGCTCGCACGTGGTATCCATCATCATGCCCTCCCTCCCCAGACTCTCTCTCTCTCTCTCTGTCTTGTGGTCCCTTTTGGGAATGGCTATTCTGATACGAAGCCTCATAGTTCAGGTACCCAAACAGGGCCTATCGTGTAGAGACTGTCCCTCATGCGGGAACAGACGTTGAAATCTGCACTCCGAGCGGCACAGTCCCAAAACAGACCAGCGGCCGCCTGCATGCACGGACCCCATGTACGGTACTCCCAAACCGCGAAGCCTCAATACCCTGGGTTCAGGGTTTAGGGCTAAATCCATGAGAATTTCTATGGTGCCCCATGCGAAATACCTTATCAACCACAAACTAACGAACCGCTTGCATCAGCCTAACATGCAAACTAAAGACCCTAACCAGAAACCTTAACCCCCATTCAAACCCAAATACCCCGAATACCCAAACCAAAACTCAAGAAAAAAACAAATCCCCAAATGCCCTAAACTGCCCTAAACCAGACACATGGAACGGAGGGCCTATGCCCACGTGCCTCAAACGAAAAGCTGAGGGAGCAACCCGAAACTCGAAAATCACACCTTCTCAAGAACGAGTCTCATAAAATGAAGGGTCTTGGGCTACAGCGTAAAGCTTGGGAGTAAGTTGAGGGCTTTGTAGGATTTAATTTAGGGTCTCATGTTCGGATGAAGACACTGGCACCAGTTCCAGCAAATGAGCCCCTTGCCCAGAGAGACCATGATAATAAGTTTGGCTCTTCATCCAAACCCGAGACCCCTTTTTCTTGCAACTGTGCCAGGAAAAGAACGCCCATCTTTCAGCCACGGCCACCAGAACCCATACATAAACCCTTTTTAAGCACGGACTGAGGAGGCTGCCAGCAACACCTGAAAGCAGGGCCTTGTTGCATCAACATAAACCCTACACCTCTTTTGAACCTGGAAGCTGCTTCATGCCAGGACTAAGGCCCTTTTGCTTCCAGGTCTCCAGGTCTCAGTCCTAAACCCCTAAAGCCCTAAACCCTGAAGCCCTCAACCCTAACCCCTAAACACCTAAACCCTCTTCCCCTCCCCCTAATCCTAAAACCCCCATATACTATAAGATAATCATAAGGGGGGTACTTAATATTAGGGGGTACTTGGAGGTTCATGGTACTTACTAACCAATTATGACTGTACTTACAACTGTACTTATAACCATATTAGGACACTTAAGGGGGTTAAAGTAGGTTATAAGCACAAATACAAATTGGTGAGTAAGTACCCCTAAACCAACCCTAAACCCTAAACCCTAAACCCTATACCCTAAACCCTAAACCCTAGAAGTACCATGAACCTCCAAGCAGCAGGGGATTATTCCTGAGTAGGGATGCCTGCCAGTGCCCACCGCGCTCGGCCGCCGCCACTGCGGCCGAGGAGGCCACGAGGCTCGCGGGCAGGCGCCGGGCCTTGGGAGCGGTTTAGGGTTTAGGGTTTAGGGTTTAGGGTTTAGGGTTTCCCTGAGTAAATTTCTTGGAGCACGAGAAGTATTTGCTCCAATTTCAAATGATTCATTCGTTTGATACGTCTTTTGATGTTCCTCTTGTAGAAATCTACTATCATCACGGCTAATGTCATCGATATCTTTATCGACGTCGTCTGCATTGTGAACTTCGCATTGGGTTCCGAGCACCATCCGAACAGTTTTCGTTTCGTTGTGAAGTTGAAGTTGCATGTTTTCCGGGCTTGGATGTCATGATTTTTGTATCCAGGGTTAATTTTTGCAAACTGCCTAGCTGACCTGGGGTTGAGGTCTTTGGTGTTTTGAACAGGTGCGTTTGTCTGCTTGGGGGCCTGATTTTGCTTGAGTCTTGGGGCTTTTGGGTTCAGAGAGAGGTGGAGTTGAGCGCGCATCACGTTTCAGAAGGGGATGGCCTAGCATGGTCTTGGCACGTGCTGCGTGTGCTTGGGTTGGATATTTGCTGGCTCGGGACGAACAAAAAATAACCTTCGCGCTTGAAGGATTTCAGGACACACCACAGGGTTCAAGGTTAGCTAGCTACTCAGCAACGACGGGTAATTGCTGGATCTACAAGCTGGCTAGCAGCTTGCAGCTCAGCGAGAGAGAGGATAGGCGGCACAGCACACATGCCACACATGACCTTGCCAGTGCGTAGGTGCCTTCATCTCGCCGAAAAGCGACATGGCGCCCTGCCAATGTGCACCTGGCTGGGAATCAAAAAGAACCAGAAACATCGGTGTCAAAGCCTGGCGGGATACTTGGGTCCTTGTTTTCCCTGAGAGAATTTGTCTGAGAAGCAGGTCGAAAGTCTCTGTAGGTACCTCGGCTTGACCCCTTCCACACCTCCCCCACCCCTCACCTAAGCCTAAAGCAAATCCGGGCAAAAACAAAAAAAAGCACGGCTCATCTAGTGTCCTTGAGCCACCTCTGGGGTTGGAGGCAGAGCGGAAACTCACTTCGAGAATTCGTGCACGGCAATCCGAAAAACTAAGGTCCCCTAAATACAGCCCGCAATTGAACTCGTCACTCATCAAAATAAAGAATCTTGAAGGTGGGACCACCGACCACAAAGACGCCAAGAATCTTCGCGACATCTTCAGTGGACACGTTAGGGCTTGGTAGTTGCCCCCCCCCCCCCGCCCCAAGGTCCCTCTGAGAGAGCAGGAAGACTCGACAGCTGCCACCGGGGGCGAGTCTGAATTCTGAGCGCCCGGGCGCTTGCCGAGGCTTGTCATCCTCGGTGGGCCCGTCTTCTGAGGTGACTGCTCGGCTTTTTGTTGTTGTTTCTAGGCAGTGTCCTGCTTGGATCCACCCATGCTGCCAACTCCAGCAGCCGCAGCCCGATTCTTGCATGCTTTCGCCCCTGCACCGCACCAACCCAAGCTACATGCCGCCTTGCCTGCTCATGACTTATGACTGCCTATAAGCTCGTGCACCTTGGGGTATACCCATGATCCTCCAGTAGAAGTCGCATCCAAGAAGCAGCGCACTGAAAGTCACAGCATCCGCAGCGAGGCCCCTGGCACTGCGGGCTAAGAGTGTGCTTGCGGCTTAGCCAGTGAGCCACGCATGCCAGGTTTTGACTTTCTTTGCAACATGTTGGACCACGCGGCCCTAAATCCCCATAAGCCCCAATCTACGAGAGAGAGACTGGGCCTAGGTCGCTTCGGCCACAGATTGGAGAGGTGGGAAAGCCAGAAGTCAAGGAGAGAACATCACTCAAGACAGGGCTCCGACTCTCACACTCGCACGCGGCAGGCAAGGCTTCGGTCGGCTTCTCTCAGCTTCAGAATGCAACAAGGTGGTTTTTGGGTTTAGTGTGGGACCTTCGGGGTGTGAGATGCCGCGGGAAGCCCAACCGGTCGCTTTGATGCTAGCCCTCCCCCAGGTCCTAACAACCTCAACCCTATGGAGCCTTGTCTCCATGTGCTGCCACACGGCGAGGCTCATCCTCAGCTTTGGGTTGTTTTATCAGGGTGTTTGGGTTCTTTTGCTTCGGAATACAGGATCTATAGCTTGTTGCTTTTAGGCTCAAGGATGTTGGATGGGTTCAGGGCACTCGGAGGGGTTTGTAAATTGCGTCCTACCTGGGTTTGCTTCGCCACACCTGGCAGCTAGTCTAGGACAGGTTGTAGAGGCACCTACTCAGTCTCAGAATTTTCGTAACAAGGAAATCCAGTTTGGTCCCATGAGGCATACATGGGAGTAC